AATATTGTGTATATCTCTCACTAGCACACAGACTTAGAAAGTATTGTGTATGTATCTCACTAACACAAAGACATAGAAATTATTGTGTATGTGTCTCACTAACACACCGACATAGAAAGTATTGTGTATGTATCTCACTAACACACTGACATAGAAATTATTGTGTATGTGTCTCACTAACACACAGACATAGAAAGTATTGTGTATGTATCTCACTAACACACTGACATAGAAATTTTTGTGTATGTATCTCACTAACACTCAGACATATAAAGTATTGTGTATGTGTCTCACTAACACACTGACATAGAACGTATTGTGTATGTGTCTCACTCACACACCAAAATGTAAAGTATTGTGTATGTATCTCACTGACACACCGACATAGAAAGTATTGTGTATGCTTTTCACTAACACACTGACATAGAACGTATTGTGTATGTATCTCAATAACACACCGTCATAGAAAGTATTGTGTATGTATCTCACTAACACTCAGACATATAAAGTATTTTGTATGTATCTCACTTACACTCAGTCATATAAAGTATTGTGTATGTGTCTCACTAACACACTGACATAGAAAGTATTGTGTATGAATCTCACTAACACACCAACATAGAAAGAATTGTGTATGTATCTCACTGGCACACCAAGATAGAAAGTATTGTGTATGTATCTCACTAACACACCAACATAGAAAGTATTGTGTATGTATCTCACTAACACACCAACATGGAAAGTATTGTGTATGTGTCTCACTAACACACCAACATAGAAAGTATTTTGTATGTATCTCACTAGCATTACGACATAGAAAGTTTTGTGTATGTATCTCACTAACACAAAGACATGTAAAGTATTGTGTATGTCTCTCATTAACACACATACATAGAAAGTATTGTGTATGTATCTCACTAACACAAAGACATATAAAGTATTGTGTATGTTTCTCATTAACACACCACCAGAAAACGTATTGTGTATGTATCTCACTTACATATCGACATTTAGAGTATTGTATATGCNGTATGTTTCTCATTAACACACCACCAGAAAACGTATTGTGTATGTAACTCACTAACATATCGACATAGAGATTATTGTGTATGTATCTCCGTAAGACACAAACGTGAACATTTTGTATGCATCTCACTAAGGAACAGAAAAAGCGAGTAATGCTTATGTATGATTGTAAATATATCTAACCAAAAGTATTGTGTATGTATCTCACTAAGACACAGACATTGGGAATGTAGAATCTGTACCTCATTAAGACACAGACATAGTGAGATCTGTATATGTATTCGACTAAGACACAGACATAGGATCCTATAAAATGGAACAATTACTTTTTATTGTATGTGCAGTGATCTTGCGAAGTGCTACTACATAAGGTACGTGTAAGACGTCTGCGGATCCGTGGAGTGACAACTATTTACATAAACCTTGTTTTAAGGTGTTCGTTTAAGGACCCCATATCATTGCCAAAAATTAAGTATTAGGAACCGTTTTTTTGAAGCACGGCTTTAGCTTTGATAAATCAATTCTGAAAAAAATATGTTTGCGAAACGGATTATGACATGTCGAGTGAAATGTTCTCACTCTTATTAAAAGACATTGCTTTTAAAATTGATCAATACAAATTGTTGTCCTTTTGGATTATCTACGCTTTAACCTTGGTAAATAATGTAATCTTCAAAATTAATCATTTGTGGAGGGACTCAGATGTTAGAATATTTTAAATCACGTAAAATTGTCTTACAAAGTGGAAATAACACCTATATATGTTCAGGGAGATGCATTGGTCCTCACGCCTATTAGTTATCTGGTTCTATAAAACAAAATAACACGTGCACAATAACTCCAGTTTAGCACGAGTTATTTTGCTAATTTGCTGTAGATAGCTTTACCATCTATTCAATTACCTGTTGTATACTGCAATAATATAACTGTTTAACATCAAGTGATTCTTAGTGATCATAGACGATATTGTGTACATTTGTACGTGCTGAGTAATAGTTTTGAGTATTACGGGAATTATTGTAAGTACGGAATTCTGAGCACGTTTGAATACCGCCATGACTGCCTGATATGTTTTGTTTGGAGCTTGCCATTCGCACACACAACAACACAAGATAACCACGTCCTCAATGTTATGAATGTTAATATTTTTTGAAAAAGAATAACGAGAGGACGATAACATTTATCATAGACGATTTTGCCTACTTTGTTACATGCTTATCTAGTGTTTAGTGTTTTGCAAGGACACTTCCGCTGACCAGGTAGTTAATTTGGTAAGGACGATATAATAACACTCTGAAGTCTGTTGTTCGAGTCCAGGTGTAGCCCCGCTGAACTTTTACACACAGAACACCATTGTTGATTATATCTTGTAAATTTCATCTTTATTTTTTTTCCTTTATAAAAGTCTGTCGCGATGATTTCAAATGCAAAGGAAAGTACCTTCTGAATTCACATTCTGTCCATATGGAAAGCGTCCCATTCGAAGATTTCAATAGCAATTGCACATGTCAAGCGAAAGTCGTTCCATGGTAGCATTTGTATTACTTATGTCGGTTGAATAATATTTTGACCAAATAAATTTGAAATCTGCCTTTCTTATTTTGAGTGATTTTATTCTCTGTATGGCTTTTGCATAGCTTTCCAAGTATTTAAGCCTATCGCAAATATCAAGGCATGCAAAAGAGTAACTTATCGCTGTAGTGATTTTCGGTGTATCATACCACATGTATCCTAATGTAATTCCTTTCGATAGACTGTAAGCGATCGTATTTGGCCATGTTGAGTTTTCGGATACTGGCGACGCCAACACATCTTCCACTAATTTGTCTACATGTTGTTTCCACTCAACCAAATAATAAGAGGAATGTGGGATTTTTAATTCATATAGCCTCTCTGTAACAAAGAGAAAAGTAGTATAAAATAAACATAAAATAACCAAGATATCTTTGTAAATTCAACATGGTATAAATACCCTTCAAATTGAAATATGCCGTTTTTTAACTGGACATTCAGAATAAGATTATATTTTTTCATATACATTATATAGAGGTCTCAAAAGTAATAACGAAAGTATAGTGCAATATGGACACTGATTTAAAATAAACAAGTGTTCGTACTTAAATATATATATATCAGTACGGAAGTAATAAAGACACTGCAGACATAGGAATTTATCAAATTTTCGAGGCAATCTGCCCCTTTTTCAAAACATATAACAATGTGATGAGCATTCACTATGTACGATACCACAAACTAATATGCATAAACAAAAAGAATCACTTACGTTATATGCTGTATGTAACAAAAGCTTACCATAGAGATACAAAACAGATTTTCTCACTTCATTTTGTTCTAATAAATTATAATTCTATAAATAGCCTTTGGTTACTGTCGTTATTATTGTTTGCCTTTATGTGTGTGGTTGTGTGTGTGTAGGTGTGTATGTGTGTGTGTGTGTGTGTGTGTGTGTGTGTGTGTGTGTGTGTGTGTGTGTGTGTGTGTGTGTGTGTGTGTGTGTGTGTGTGTGTGTGTGTGTGTGTGTGTGTGTGTGTGTGTGTGTGTGTGTGTGTGTGTGTGTGTGTGTGTGTGTGTGTGTGTGTGTGTGTGTGTGTGTGTGTGTGTGTGTGTGTGTGTGTGTGTGTGTGTGTGTAAATGTGTGTTTGTGTGTGTGTAAATGTGTGTGTAAATCTAAAATTCACAAGCAGGATGATTCGCAAGGCCTTTCGCTGCTAAACAGGTCCTCTGCATTCTCCTAAGGAACTGTATAGAAACAATCTTTGAGGAGCTGTATAGCAGCGAAAGAGCCTTAAGATACAGTTTGCTTGTGATGTTTAAATTTATTTAAATTTATTTGCATCATTTTTCTGTCACACAGACTTGAATGCAATGTTTATATATACTTGAAGGATAAAGGAACGCAGGGTAACAAAATATGCAACAATTATTGAACTGCTTGGCCTAAAATTATGAAAACCGGGCAGATGAGTATCTTGGGCACTAAGCACTCACACCGGTGTCTAATGTTACTCAACTGTGTAATGTACCGTGCCCCATAGTGTAATTGTCCAAATGCAAAGAAAACGAACAGAATAATGATGACAAGTTTTTATTAACCCATCTTGTCATACCACTCGATACTCTTGAGGTAGACACATCGCTTTCTGCTATTAAATGTCAATTTGAATCTCTTGGAATCATGGTACGGCTGACGGAAGTTCACAGACAGGGTAATTCGTCTAACCGGCATAATCGCCACTTTTCTGCCATTGAAACTGCTTTTGTTAGAAGAGTGGAAGAATATCTTCGCAAAAAGGATAAATATACCGATCAACTCCATGCACAAGATAATAAGGGCTGTGACAGATACGCGAGGGTGGCATACATGTACGAGATACTGACGAATCCAATGAGTGGATTTCACTTTTCTATTTTGGGGGGTACCGTCAAATGTGCTCCAATATTTGTTTATTAACGATGTTTTTTGTTTTAATCTTATATAAAAATATTGCATATAACAAACTTATATATATGTTTTTCAAATCAACTTAAATGTTTACCGCGTTTCCTTATCCTTTCAGTATATATATTTAAATAAAATATAACACAAAAAATACTTATTGCTTGAAAAGACCTTATATTTACTTATAATAAATGAGATGGAAAGTTAAAATAGCATCGAAAAATGAATGTCAAAATTATGTGATCAAGCTGGGAAATAAATGAGTTAAGACTTGTAGATAAAAGCGACATTGTAAATTTTTCATCGTTTCAAACATGTTGTCGAATGTGAATATAGGCTATTTTGAATTAAGAGTGCCAGTAACCTAGAGTCATGATAATTGGTATGGAATATTTCAGATTCCTAACAATTATATATATGTATGTGTACTACCAACTGGGTGAACAAGTTAAATATAAGTATGTAAAACAGAGTGATAGTTAGATTAAATAAAGTCTTATTGAAACAAAGCGAGCTAAAGCAGCTTACCTTTGGCTTCAGTTACATTTCTCACAAAAAGACTCGAAAGTAGATTTGCTCTAGTTGTAGATATCTCCATCTGATGTGTAAGACTGATATTTTTGTAGCCTGGTTCTGCTTCAAGTACTTTGTTGTTTAGGCACGAAGCTAACTTCACAACCAGTTCTTTCAACGTTTGAAAGTTGTACTTTTCGATCCAGAGTAGGTATGTGACAATTCGAGATGGCGGTATGTAGACATCCGCCTCGGAGACAGACTCCACGCGTTGTCGGATTACTTCCACACATTCTGTGATCAATTTTTCTGTCCGATACTCATCTGCCAAAGGTAGCACTGTATCGAGTGTTTCATCTGTGAATACGAAAGAATGTTTTTACATATTTCATGTATGTAACATGCAAAGAGAAATAACATTTTCAAAGGTAACGACAAAATCGGTTTTATGATTTTCTTTTCCCTAGTTATGGGTGTTCGTTTAAGGATCCCTGTACCACTGCAAAAATGTAAGTATTGGAACATATTTTTAAGCACGACTATGATAAATCAGCGGGGCCAGACCGGAATTCGAACACTGCACTTCTGCGCTGCACAAATTCTAAAACAATCTCTCTAACCGACTGAGCTACCTGGTAAATGGATGTAGCCTAGTCTAACTGTGCTGCAGTTATACCAAACGGGAATTTAAGGGAAGGTTACTGTATAGAGGAAAGAATAACAATGCAGTTGGTCGGGGATCCTTAAGTACAGACAAATATGATATAGTCTTTCCTTCATTTCTATATTGACGAAGGGTAGAATGTGTGCAACGAGCTATCCGCTTAGTCAACCGAAACAATATAACCTGTTAACAAAAACCTACCTATTTGTCAACCAATCAGATACATATTTCATAATTACCTGTAACTTTGTCAGGGAAATTAGGCAGAAGACATTTTAGGAATGTGACCATATCATCATATGTTTTCCCAGGGAACTTCAGCTCCTGTTTTGTATCAATACTGCATTCCTCTTTTTGCCACTCTTTTTTAAGCAAAGCAGCAAAAACAGGTGAAGCAGATTCTAGTAAGGCTCTGTTTACATGTAGATGTTCATCCTCAATTACCAGTACAACATCGTTTGGCAGGAAGCCTGGATCAATCTGAGCAAGAAAGAATTTACAAGATATATTACTAGACATACTAAAAGAGCCGTCTTGCATTGAATAGTATTGAAAGCTCTGCGCATTTTTTCTAGCCACCCATTGAATATAAGCCTTCCTACGATTGTTTGTTATATTGAAGGGCGATACATCAGTGTTATTGACAAAACAATGAGGTTATACGTACGTCTGTGGCGGATGCGAGTCTTCAACCAAAGCCATCAATTAACAATATAGGGCAGCGATTTGCAGAAACTTACAAAGGAGGGCCTGTATCGCTCACCAGGATATTTAAGCAACCATGGGAAATTATTCTCAATAAAAGTTATTTTGCAAATATCTCAATACATTAATATTGAGTCTCCTTGTCTGAAGAATGTTCCAGAAGTAAATGAAATTTTGTACTACTATCCTAACATGCTTATGGTCAAATATCATTCTCCAGAGCCTCCTGGTATTGCAAAAGAAGTTGTTAAAGATATTTACATATTTGACCCCTGTGACCTGGACAGTAGGTCAAGGTCATTCATTTGAGGAAACTTTATATAACATCATGCGAGGTGCTTACTGGCCAAGTAATAGTACTATGGGCCTCCTGGTTAATCTAAAGAAGTTGTTTAAAGGTATTTACAAGTTTGAACCAGGTAATCTTGAAAGTAAGTCAAGGTAATTTATTTGAGGAAACTTTACAGCACTTTGTCCCAGGTACCTACTGGCCAAATATCATTGCTCTAGGCCTCTTGGTTATTCAGAGGAAGTTGTTTAAAGTTGTTTTTAAAATATTTGACTCCCGTGACCTTGAAAGTTGGTCAAGATCATTTATTTGAAGAAACTTTATATTACTTCATACCAGGTAACTACTGGCCAAGTATCAGTACTCCGGGCCCCCTGGTTACTCTGAAGAAGTTGTCTGAATGTTTTTACATATTTCGACCCTGTGACCTTAAAAGTAAGTCAAGGTCATTTATTTGAAGAAACTTTATAACACACTGTCCCATGTACCTACTGGTTAGATATCATTGCTTTATGCCTTCTGGTTATTGAGGAGAAGTTGTTTTAATGTTTTTACAATTTTGGACCCAGTGACCTTGAAAGAAGGTCAAGGTTATTTATTTGAGGATATTTTGACAACTTCATACTATTTACCTACTGGTCTAGTATCTGTACTCCTGGCCTCCTGGTTATTCTGAAGAAGTTGTTTAAAGGTTTTTACATATTTAACCCATTTGACCTTAAATACAGGTCAAAGTCATTTATTTGAGAAAACTATATAGCTCTCTGTCCCAGCTACCTACTGGACAAAGATCATTGCTCTAAGCCATCAGGTTATTTAGAAAAAGTCTTTTTTTATGATTTTTGAACACATTTAAACCCTATGACCTTAAAAGTAGGCCAAGATTATTTATTTTAGGAAACTTTAGATAACTTCTTTTGCCAGGTACATGTACCTACGGGCCAAGTATTATTACTCTTGGCCTCCTGGTTGTTCAGAAAAAGTTGTTTAAATGTTTGTACACATCTAACCCCGGTGCCCTTGAAAATATGTCATTTATTTGAGAAAACAATATAGCACTATGTCCAAGGTACCTACTGGCAAAATATCATTACTCAAGGCCCTCCAGTTCTTAAGAAGAAGTCGTTTAAAGGAAAAGTTGACGGACGATGGACGGACGACGGACAACACACCATACCATAAGCTGATCTTGCACTTCGTGCCAGGTGAGCTAAAAACTAACAAGTGACGTGACTGGTGTGTTATAGAATGTTTTGATATCAATCTGGTCTGGAAAAATCTTATTCGGACTTTGCTTTCTATATGCCCATTAATATCCATAAAACAATCAAAAAATTGTATTTATTGTATTACGTCACAATGATGTCACAAAAACATTAAAAATAATTGCCTGAAGATGGCAGTTAGACTTTAAAACGTGATTTACCATGTTGATGTTCAATTTGTATGCCTACAGATATATATATAAATATATCTTTCACACCAGTGATGTGTCACCTTTTTCCCAATATGATATCGATTGATTAAATAATATGTTTAAGCGTCCTGCTACTTGAGGTTCATGTTAAATTCCTCACCTTCCTGTGCTGCTTTGGAGAAAGTGGTACATCATCATTATCGTTATTCGAATCCTCGTCTGATTTCTCGTCATGATCACATGGGGCAATGAGGTTTGGAATTATAACATCGTCTTCCTGAAGTCTGTAGGGATTATAAAAGTTATCAGTGTTTCCTTTTTTTTTCACTTTAGACACAAGCCAAGTCTGACAGTTTTTTAATGATTGCAACCTGAATTGAGTTCTTTGGTGTCAATTTCTTGCGACAATGTAAATCCACATATACATTCACTTTCAAATTGTCGCTCACATTCCCAGTATGATGGTAACCGATATGATAACACAACACATCATAAATAGAAGTTATATTCATAACAGAAACCTTATTTAGCACAGAGAATGTATGTATCTTTCTATGTGTCACAACAAATATTTAATAACCGCCTGCCAAATCGAAATATAAATTAGCTTAAAAGATCCCATGCGCTTTTTATAAACACCAAACTGATTAGATTGTTACCCAGTATGAGGTTTTTAAGGCATTTTTGCTATTAGATCAACGAACGATACTTAGTACCCTAGACGATTTTGTTCAATTTTTAAAATCTTTCGCACAACAATGCTTTAACTCAATCATAGCACTGTTTGGATACCGTTTTTTTCAACGGAAGTCTATCGGATGCTAACATTTTCAATGAATGAATTAATGAAATTGGTGCTTAGATTCTGCTGTCTGTGACTGAATCCATTTAAGCGTTACTCCAATACCGCATCATCATCATCATCAATAACACCGCTAAGATGTCGTACAGATACTTATGTACTTGTTCATATCTAATTGAATATTAACGTAGTCGCCGATGTAACGACACACGATAATAATAAATTGATCATGACTGATCCCGGACGAGTTTGCTAGTGCGGTTCTCATAGTTTCCATCTCAATCAGAGTCAACTGATCATTGACTCCAACTGTTAGAAAATATGATGATTGAGACGAGAATGTGTTTGTATCTTTTCTGAAAGTCATGGCAAATCATTCAAATATTATTTAGTGGTCAGATAAATAACAAAAGCAAATAAACACGTATTTCTAAACAGAAGTGACTAAGTCTAGTGTTGTAATTTTACTCATGCATATCAGAAACAGTGTATTTCATATTTGGCAATGTGTACACATTTTCGAATTATGTTGATCAAGTGTAAATTGAAAAAGTCCTTGTACATACAACATGAACTTCTACTTTTGTTTCGACTTCCAGGATGCCCTAAACCGTGCTATGTGTATTGGATGTTTGCAAATCTTTTATTAGTTAAGGAATAAAGAATGTAACAACAAATGTAACAGGGAATTACATGGACTATAACTAGATGGATGGTTATGTAAATTCTACATACAAACACATGTATGATATTTGTTAAACTGCTTACCAACTGAACCTCTATCCAGTTACGAAATACTTACGGCATTGTATCGCCGCTTCCGTTGCCAACAAGAAACATGTGATCCTGCTATTCACATGCACAGTATAAGGAATGGACATAACTAATACAAATAACACTACATCATACCAATGACTAGAATAGCTCCAGTATTTAGTCACCATAAAATGACATTGTAACAGATTACAGATCAAATGAAATGTATTCATCCCGTAATATATTTAGCGAAACAGAATGTGTAAACTTTACAAATTGGTATCAGTGATAGATATAATAACATAATATTATCATCAATAATATATTATATTATATTATACTACGTAAAACGAAACAGAAAACATGTTGATTGTTACTTCCATCACGAAAACGAAGATTTAGTGTATAGTTTGCAGCTACATAGATTAATTGATGGGTAACCACTAAATCATCATTGTGTAAATCCTTTAGTCGGTGAGTTTAAAGAGTGCCACCCGATACATCCAGGTGGAGACCAATTTAACGCTACGATTAACAGATAAACGAGCTATTTAAAGAAAACATTAAAATACCGATACCAGATCAGACGCCGACATACGGACCCACTGTACGAACATATTTATATGTAAACTCTAATTAAAGCCCTTTGTCAATGTACGTCTATACTGAGAAAGAATGTCGACGGGTAGGACTTACAGGCAGTAGATACAATATGGGGACTATTCGCTTTACCATCTTTATCAACTCCGGCCCACACAGGGCAACAAAGACTACACATATCTATGCCTCCCGTGCAAAGCCGGGTTTTTACTTCTGCTTTGGGGTCAGTGAAGAAGGAAAAACTGATGTCTCCATTGCAACATTTGATATCAAGAATTGTTTTTGTTTTCACTTCCTTACGCTGCACTAGCCTTTGTGAGACTTTAGCTGTTGAGATAACGTTAATAGCTGTCACCAACAATAAACTTACAAACAAAAATGAACATGAACTAAATTGGTTAACTAGATAGACGGTTATACAAATACTTCATACAAACACATATGTTAAGTTTGTTAAATAGCTTATCAACACCTATGCCCTGTTACGAAATACTTACGCCATTGTGGTGCCGTTTTGTTGTCAACAAGGAACACGTGACCTTGCTATACACATACGTAGTATAAGGAATTGGCTTACAGACATTGAACATATCTCCGTAGATGACTAAAACAAATAACACTACATCCAATCTATGACCAGAAGAACCACAGTCATTTGTTAACATAGAATGACATTGTACCAGATGAAAGATATTATGAAAGGAATATAAAGCTATTAAAGCCATGTTGGTCTCTGTGGAGTATCACATATAGATAGATATATCACGTAATATATCTATAGCGACACAGAATATGTACACTTTACAATTTAGTAGAAGTGATATATATTATAACAAGTTATCACATTTTATGTAAAACGAAACAGGAAACACTTTAATAATCACTTTCCAACATGAAAACGGAGATTTAGTGTCAAATTTGCAAATATAAATACCAATTGAAAGGGAATCGTGCAATTCAGTTTTTTCAAATTTAAATATCAATTATGAGATAAAGAGAAGGTCGCGTCTACGTAGTGTATAGGTTAATTGAATATATAGAGGATATCTGACTTAATTTATGAAGTCGTTATCCACAGAAAATAAAAAAGAAATAACTAATTTGGCCAGATATGTAAGAATTGCTAGTAGAAAACAACAAAAATGTACTGAATTAAGTCAATTGTATCTAGTGTTTGTCAGTCATACATTATTATGTCCTTATCATTAAATATTATTCATTTATTAATAACATTATTTTAATCTGTGCAAGATATCTCTCTACACTTCTAGGAGTAGGTGCGGAAGTGGTGTGTATGTGTGTTGTTGTTTAATTGTTTACTTTATGTTGCACTGTATATATGCACACCTGATGAGCTGTAAAGCTTAAGGAAATAAACGAACTTGAACTTGTACTTGGACTTCAGTAATGCTTAATTTTTCTCACCACTGTGGTTATTGTTTTCATATATTTCATGAGTGCACGACACGAATGAAAGAGATCAAAATATTAGCCACAGGAGTGAAATGTATTTGGTATTACTGAAGACACTGTTCGAGTTTCTGTTTCTTACATTTCTTTTACGAAAAACGACCCCGGAACGCGAAGCGACATATCAAGCTGACAATATTTTATCTGGATCTTTTTACCACTAGCATGTCTAGAAAACTGGTACATACGAGACAAAACAAAGTTCATATATTAAATAAAATATTCCAAATTACTATCATCATGCAATTATTTAAGTCCCGTCATATCAACTCAGATTTCCACATTGCTGATAAGCGCCGAATATAAAATGGCGAAGAGTTGAATATGTAGACTTGTTGTGTTACCACATAGCCTCATCAATATCATCTATGTAAATTATACTTAATCACTATCACTGTCAGAGATGACTTCGTAGTCACCTGTATGTGTGTTACGTCCATCTGTAGAGATATGTAGGCAATCAAATACTGATAAAAATTCATTTAATGAATGACAATATCAGCGATAAATTTAGTAGACATGGAGTGCGAAACCCAATAAGGCAGAACTAATCAGGTAATGGACAGTTGACAGATTACCGGCCTTGATTTGGTTGTTTAGGTTTAAAAGTCCTATCCACAGCTAAGGTAATTTAAGGATGTGCCTCAAGGTATGTTGTGTAAGCGTGCACATGTGTATTTGTGCTAGAGGGAAGGTATGATGGTGTACTGGCCTCCTTGTGATAACGCGGATCTGATGTCGACGTTATAGTGCTATCTTACTGAAATACAGCAAAGTATTCCGCTCAGCCTTAAGGGAATCAGGTAAATTGTTACTGAATTATGCATAGAATGTACTAGTTTGATAAACTTTGGATCACTGTACACTTCTATGTATTATAATATGTACATTGTAATACTGTAAACGTACATGCTTTAACAGTGTGTTAATCTTAGCTCTTTTGTCGCTTTAAAAAAATCCGCTAAATTATAATTTCGCTAATCAATTATTTGGATATTGTTTTCTATTGAGCATATTGTGAGTTCACTAATTTATTTATGCTAGATTTAATCCGCTCAATTCTAGTACTTTTACAGTATGATATTTCAAACAGTAGGTACAATTCACTATTTCTCACGATAGTAAATTGCTATTCGCTGTACTACTTATCAATGTTGTAATTGATTCGCTAGACAGGTACACGAAGTAAATTTGATGGAGTGGTTCTTGATATTGACGACCAAGACAACAGGTTAGAATTAGAACTTTATAACACTAAATTAGATAGGCCTGACTCATTAAAAAGACCATTGCTACCGATACGAAAGAAAAACAAAGATTAACACTCCTCTCGGAAAGAAATATTAAGAAATTCGTTCAGAAAAAAAGACCCTAACCAAATCACATAAATGACATTCGTGTGAAACAAAAATAGTGAAATGCCTAAACATCGAGTTTCTATCGTTGCGTTGTGTTCCATGTTTTGAAAAAAATGGCTTCAGAAAAATAAAGTACACGAGTTGCAAAGGTTTGGAAGCAAAACAAAGCGGCCTAAAACAAGATAATAATTTTCTGTGGTTATGATGTGTATGTATTGTTTATCAATGTGAGGAGGCTTTCTTTGATTAAGCCGAGTTGCACAATTATTTTTTGTATAGACCAGACGAAACGTACAAACACTCAAACAAAACGGCCTCAACATAACAGATGTAACCGTGAGAAATGTGGAACGTAAACAATCGAAGAGTACATACCCAGGTGTGATAATTGTAACATTAGACACAACAGAAAACAAGCAAAAAATAATGAATGCAAACTCGAAATTAAGAAGCAACGGTAGATACAAAGAAGTATACATTGACAGTGATAAAGGAACATCGAACTGAAGGCCGACCGAGCCCTCATACTAGCACAGAGAGGACAAGAACACAACACATACACACATACCCGCAGTGAACGGGGGTAAATGGGGTGAGCGGAGTCCACCCTCGTATTTTGGATCACTCAACCGTGACATATCGTCTGACAGACAGTGAGGCTCACGAAGGGACTTACATCTCGCGATCATGACCAACAACACAGGAATATGCGTTACCATGAGGACAGACACTTTTTATCAGAGGAAATACATGACGGACATAGGTACCGTCAGGGAGGACACAATAATTACAAGAGGAACCAAAACCCTAGATGGACTGATTCCACGAAACGGAACGAATGGAGATAGGAAGCACAGGGGTCGCGGGACAAAGCGCACAATGGTTTCCTCAATGTTGGTGGATGGGCTATGAGACAAGATGTGAAAGGTTCTCAAAACTCTCCTTTTAGAGAAACTGTTGTTAAATCTCTTACTTTTGATGTATTCTGTTGCGCTGAAACTTTTTGGAGAGATTCACACCATTTTAATATTACAGGGTACAAATGTATATATAAAAAACAGAAAAACCAGTTCTAATCCAAGAAGAGGCAGTGGTGGTGTATGCATTTTTATAAAAGATTATTTTTACCAACAATATAAGTGCGTTATCCTTGATGACTCGTGTGAAGATTGTTTATGGGTAAAATTTAATAATGACGACGGTGTAGTATTTGTTATATGTGTATGTTATCTCCCTCCTAAAGATTCCTTACGAGCTTATGACGCGGAGACTTTTTTCAGTAACCTGATCGAAAAAGTCTACATGTACCAAAGCTTAGGTCATATTTACATTATGGGGGACTTTAACGCAAGATGTGGGGAACTTACTGATTATGTGGAAGGTGTCGATGATATAGCAGATCGCGTTGTTATCGACAACACTATAAGCGATCACGGTTATCAGCTAATTGATTTCCTCTCTGATACCAACTTTTGTATTGCTAACGGTAGAACAGGTAACCAAAACTATACCCAAGTTTCATCAAAAGGAAAGTCTGTAGTTGATAACTTTCTTGTACCTCATGAAAAACTAAACAGTGTTAATGATTTTAAGGTTAAACTCATGTCGGAGATTAGTGAAAATCTGTCGTTAAATCATATCAACCGTATTTCTGATCATTCCTTACTAGAATTCAATATTCAATTATGTAATGGAGAAAATCAAATAGACGTAACAGAGACTAGGTATAACAGACCTCAGCGATTCAATACTAAAACTGTCCCAGAAAATTTTATGAAAGACGATGAAGCAATGAGAAATTTTTAAACGACTATTGACGAAATAGAACATGACTTCAAGGTCTCATCAGATGTTAACCAGTTCATACAGTTGCTTTACAAAGGTAATCGAAAGTGAAATGGAGGCTAAGCTACCAAAATTGAACGTTAGAACTGGTACGGGGAGTATAAATTCAACACTTCGACGTAAACCGTATTGGAATGATGAGTTACAGAATCTAGTACACAAGCGTAATGAGAGTGAAAGGTTATGGTTAAATTGTAACGGTCTTGTAAGTTTAAAGCGAACACTAAGGTCTCAATACATAAACAACCGTAAACTTTTTAACAAAATACTTAGACGTGATAAACTACGATATCAAAAAATCAAACAAGACGAACTGCTTGACATGTGTAATAATTCCCCTAATGATTTCTTGAATAAGATACCACTTAGGTATGCAAAGAGACAGACTGAATACCATACCAAATACAATGAGAGATGCAAACGGTAATATTACGAAAAATTCTAGTGAATCTCTAAAGGTATGGTACGACTCCTTCAAGAACCTTCAAAGCTCTGACATGACAAACTTTACTGATGGAAAAGATGATATTAATAAGTTGTTGGGACTCAAACTTGATATTGACAGAAGTTTATTGAAATTACCAATATCACGTCAAGATGTTGAAGATTCGGGTTATCGTGCCAAGTTAAACAAAGCGGCTGGTATTGACAATATACAGAGCAATGTCCTCAGATACCCAGATTGTATCTGTAAATCTGCTAGTAAAGCACTTACAACTTCATATTTAAAGTATTCATATGCCGGTGAAATGTCCTATGAAGTATTTAACACGTTATATACAACTTTAAATAAGCCAGTTATTTTTTATGGATGTGGATTATGGGGTATAAATAAATACCGAGAGATTTCTGTCATACTACACAAGGCAAGTAGATATTTTCTAGGAGCTTCCCGTCGAGAAAGTAACTAAGCACTCAGAGGTGATATGGGATGGTACATTTGCAATGTGAGTCAAGTTTACGAGCGATACGTTTATTTTTAAGAATAAAGTATTGTTATGATAACAGACTCATGAAAAAGGTGCATCTATGGTCCGTTAATCTGAAGTAATCTTGGGATTCTAGAATTTTGAAAATGATTGATGACAAAAATTTGAATGAAATTGTAAACTCAACGTTTTCTGTTAAACGGAAGATTAGACGAGTGAAAGAAAAACTAATCATTTCAGATGCTGATGAATGGTACGAGTCTATATGGAATGATAGTGGTAATATAAATGGTAACAAGTGGAGAACTTACAGAACTTTTAAATAAAATTTAATACCTGATGCATATATCAAGCTTGTTAGACAAAAGAGCAAACGAAGAGTACTTTTTAATTTTAGATGTGGCTCTCTACCTCTAGCAGTGGAAACTGGCAGATACGCCAAACCTTTGATTCCACTAGAGGAACGCTTGTGTAAGATATGTACAAATGTAAATAACTGTATAGAGGATGAATGACACTTTTAATTGAATGTGATGTATATAATGACATAAGATATTCCTTATTTAATGTAGCAAATAATATAAGAAAATATTTTGCAAGTCTAAATAACACTGACAAATTTAATTTTAAAATGTCTTCCGAGGAATTACAAATTCCACTTGCAAACCACTTATATAATATGTACAGAAGATGTTGCAGTCTTTGGGATTAGTTATAATTTTAAGCAGTGTCTTGTAAGCCATTTTAGGCTGAATATCATATACAATTACATTTTCTATTTTATGCATTTGTTGAATATGATACCAGGTGTCAATCAGAAACATTTTTTATGAAAATAATCTTCCGTTTAAATTATAATTAGCTACTTGTTAGTGTGAATTTAACAGACCTCGCTGGTAGGGGGCTCCCCAACCCTTGGAAACCTAAAGTTCACTACAATCTAGAACTAGGAAATTATTCATTTTATTTATCAACATTGCTATTGTTTTTTTTAAATACATCATGTTTTAAGGCAGTAAATGTAAAAGAAAACTTTTTAACTATTATAGTATTTAATATGTAAGGACAAAATCCAGGAGTTTGTAAGGTAGGGGCTGTCCCAATCACCTGCTCTCTGGATTGGCACACGTGATAATTTGTTTTAATTTATTATGTATAATAGCTGTTCTTAACAAAATTATGATATGGTCTATATATTTTTACATTAAGATGATTGATCCCTGTTATTTAACTATATGTTTTTATACTGTGTAACTATATACTTGTACGATGTAATTGCGATATATGACACTATAATAAACAAAATTGACTTGCCTTGACTTGTATGTATTGTTTATCAATGTGAGGAGGCTTTCTTTGACTCAGCCAAGTTGCACAATTCTTTTTGTATTCAGCATTTATATACAATTCAATATCCTTAAAAAGCATTTCACGGAAAATACGAAACAAGGTTCAATAGTACATGTACTTATGCCGTCTTCATAAACACTCTCGGATTTTAACGTATTATAGTCTCCGTTTGTCTTTTCTGAAACGAGCAAGAATAATCATTTGTGCTGGTACCTATGAACATGAAATTTTATGAATTTTACATTTTAAATTGACCGAGGCGAATATCACATTTTCAGGTTCATATCACATCTTATTCACTGGCAAAAATGTCCAGAATTGTATGATATAACACCACAGTGGACATTATTGAATTCTTATAAAGTATATTGTTTTTGACAACGGCCATAGTAATTTATAAATGTTATGTGAAATAAGTGTAAGCATAGCTATTCAGATATGTTACGTGAAATAGGTGTAGCTATTTACAGGTGTTTCGTTCGGTTTGTTTGTGTTTTAAGTCCTAACAACAGCCTCGGTCGTTTAAGGACGTTCCAGGTTTTGATGGTGGAGGAAAGCCGTAGTTCCCGGAAACACTCACCGACCAACGGCCTGTACCTGGCTACTGCCAAATCTAGGTCTCGAACACGCGACCCAGTGGTGGAGGGCTAGTGGTAACAGAATGTCAGACGCCTTAACCACTTGGCCGACGCGGGCCCTTTTTGTAAAGTTGTAGTTCGTATTTTTGTCCTGAAAGAGGTGTACTCAGGAATTACCTGTTATTGTCGATGTGTCATTTTCATATAGCATAAGAAAAAACCTTTTGTTATTTCAAGACGAAACCGACCAGTAACATTGCAAACGGTAAGACGTTACATAAACGTTGACATCACAAATATGCTGACGTAACACTTATAAATCGTAGCCAATTTTCATTCAAATGCACGACAATAATCGCTTAAACTTCCTTGGATCACGTGTTTTTCCGGAGCAATTTCTGAAATGTTTCCACTGAAATAATAATTTATGAAACGTCTCTCCATATCTGTATTTTAAAGCTGTTTAAGACATCATTTTACTTATCAACTAATCACAAATTGAGTTGATAGAAAACGACCTGTCGATCACGTCCCAATTTGTAACAAACTCGAAAAAATCAACTTCTAATCAAAAAGTAGCTAAGGATATTTCACGAGTGGAATCTGCTTAAGACATCATTTTATTAAATAATTAATCACTTCAACCCAGCATACCAACAGAACCTTTAAGAAGGAAACGAAAAGTTTCTCAAGTGTAAATTTGAAACTAAATTCAGCAAGACGATCGTACAGATATAGAAGAATAAATTTTTACTGGGGTTGTCAACGGTTAGCCGGTTAACCGGTTACTTGGTCGGAAAACCGAATAATCGGACATTTATTCATCCCATGTTGAGCCCCATGTTAACCTGGCTTAGCCCTACACATTATCTATTAATGAGATCCAGATCGAATTTATTTAGTAACAAAAAACATAGTTCAGACTTACCGTTTAGTTATGTTTTTGTACTGTACTTTACAGCCTGAACAGATTTTAATTCAAGAGTACACACTTGACTGATTTCAGTGACACGTTAAAAGATGTGCACTCATCAATGAATTAGTTTGTTTATCAAATTATGTTTCTCACGAACAATATTACCCCATATCAGTTACCGTAGAAATAACTAACGTATTTTATGCTGAACGAAGTGGTTCATAAACTGACTGCTGTTATATTATATGCATGTATTCCTACGTATAGGTGTTGGGAGCTTACAATACGCAAGTAAATTATCGTGCTAATTAACACATGTTAATTGTAAATCCTTTATGATTAGAATATTAGCTAAACATACTATGTATCTGTTGGTGTTTATAGCTTGCTAACCAAACCGACCGATGTACCGGTTACTTGGTAGGACATTTTTTTCGAGTAACCGGTTACTAAAATTCGTCCGGTTTGACAACCCTAATTATTACTTTCAAAATTCCAAAATTGATAACGCCTTTCTCTCCACTCTATGTATATAAAATACATGTGTATATCATGTAAAACACTGATGTTGGATAATTTTGTCCCACAAAGTTGCATTTAATGACACCGGTTATGTAACTACAATTCGTTCTTAGTCTTAACTGGCTAGTGCATAAAAACAAAAGTGTGTGCTCAAAATATGCATTGACAAATTGGTTAGCGTTACCCACGTACAGACAGTTAGTGATCTCAGTTCTGGAACTGCATTATAATGCAGTCATTTCTTTGTATGTGTCGCACACCACTTCATCATAAGATTTTATGATTTTTGATTTCACTGTCTGGTGTGATTCTTCTATATGTATACAATCCGTATCAAAACCTTCATAATTTCAAGTGCATTTGCACATCTGAAGTACATGTCGTTCCATGCCATCGCGTACTTTATCACCGTCGGTCGAATAATGTGCTGTCCAACGTTTTTTAAATTCTGCCTTGTTTATCTTTAGTGACGTTAGTGTTTATGCTTTTTGCATAACTTCTTGAGAGTTTCAACCGATCACAAATAGATATGCATGCAAAGGTAGCAACATCTGCAATCGATGGTATAATTTGCGGCGTCATGTTGCTAACCACTTGCCCAAAGGGCACACCAAAACCCGGAGTGACCGCTTGAATGTTTGGTATGTGAAACATTGACTGGCCTGGAGCCGTATTTGGTGATGTTGTTGATGTTGTGAGAAACGCCTCCACAATTTCTACTACATTATTTTTCCATTCATCCATATAATGAGTGGAGATTGGAATTTTGAACTGGTACATCTTTCCTGTAACAAAAAATATATTAAAAATAATGAAAAGCTAATTAATTATTAACATAATATTAACATGATAATTCAAACGCCACACCTTAATTTAACAAAGAGCATCGATATAAGTACTATCCAAGAGAAAAAAGGTAAAGTCATTCGTATTCGTTAACAGGTAAGGAAGCACGGAATACGATCTAAGAAACTTGTAACATTGTAACACGGCAGACATTGGAATCCCATACAAACTTATAGCTATCAAGAGCACTCATATTCTTCAAATAGATTATTAAGGATACCCGTCCAACTGTAGGCATAGGGATCCTTAATAAGCAAATAATATAAACTCCCTAAAAGGGGGGTGTGGGGGTGTGGGTGTATGTGTGTGTTCAGATGGTCTGGAATGTTACTACTAAGGGAAAGATTAACGTCAAAACTGCATAATCACGGTTGTTGTAAAATTCGTTTGTGAAGTCGCCATTATTGTAGGTGAAAAAAATGTCACGATATGTTATTTCAAACATAATATCCTCTTGTTTTTGTCAGGTGAAATGTCTCTATGAAATGAAACTAGATACAAAGGCTTACTTTCAGCTTCTGTTACACTGAACACAAACAGACTCTCAAGTAGCTTGGCTCTGGCATTAGATACATCCAGTTGAAGTCTTAGGCTGACATTTTCGTAGTCTGCAACTGCCTTTAGCTCTTAGGTTTTCAGGTACGAAGCTAACCTCACAACACATTCTTTACCCATGTGGATATTATATTGGTCGATCCAGAGTAGGTATGTGACAATTCGAGATGGCGGTATGTAAACATCCGCCTCGGAGACAGACTCCACGCGTTGTCGGATGACTTCAACACATTCAGTGATCAAGTTTTCTGTCCGATACTCATCTGCTAAAGGTAGTATTGTATCCAGATTTTCATCTGTAAATACACAGGAAATGAAATTTTAAATATGGTTCTACGCCATCTTCCTCCACATTTAAACAGATAATCCTAGTAGATGATATTTATGTCTTGGTAATAATTGAACATTATTTTAAAATGTGTTTTGACTGAAATGTTACTCCATTGGTAACTATCTATAACGACTGTAATACCATTAATCATTGAGTGATCCCGCGTTTCCGTCGTGTATAGAGTATATCCTATACAATGTGAACAATCTATGCTCTGAGCGCCAAGAACTGCGACACTTTGAAGAATCATCACCGACCAAAAGTTGTCGTGCCCGCAAATGATCCCATAAATTCAGTATGCAATCGATACACTATTATCCCTCTTTCAACATCGATTCTCCGGGGGCTACGTTCGATCACTTCCGTTCTCTGAGCCTCTGTGTTATGTCATGGCAAACTTTAAGACACACGATTAGTTATTTGATTGGTCGCAGGAAAAAAACTGCCCCATCGCTAGGCTGATACTTGACAGGCGGGATAAACATCCGAGACGTTTTCAAACAATAGAGTTTTTTTTCTTTCCGTTTTTTAATATTTGAGACCGAGACAAATCTGTGCAATTATGAATACTAAACAAGTCCTATTCTTAGTCTATTAAATGTGCTTATACTATTATTTATTTTGTAAACTAAAATTGTTACTAAAGAAAGATGATCATAGTTACAGCACGTTTTTATCATTACCTGTAACTTTGTCAGGGAAAAAGGGCAGAAGACATTTTAGGAATGTGGCCATCTCATCATATGTTTTCCCATGGAACTCCAGCTTCCTTTTTGTGTCGTCAGTGCACTCGTCTTGTTGCCACTCTTTCTTAAGCCAAGCTTCAAAAACAGGTGAAGCTGATTCAAGTAAGGCTTTGTTTACATGAAGATTTTTTTCTTCGACTACCAGTATCACATTGTTTGGCAGGAAGCCTGGATCAATCGGAGCCTAAAATTTGATGAAAGTATTTACGGACATGTTCAAAGAATTCTTTCAGTGTACATTACTTTTATTCATTCATTGTCAAAAGTCTCACTATCCGATTGATACTATATCCTATCAGTCGGTGATTATGGGAATTATAAACAGATGTTGAATTGCGAAGCTTCATCCCTGAATTCATATTTAAAGTAAGGAACTCACCAGATTACGTTCATGATGTCAATTACGAACGCTTTAGAAGAATACCTTTTCCAACACATATAGTGATCCTTCCTATAGACATGGGCTTGTTTTTATATATTCTTGGTTTTTTTAGTTACATTGTAAAGTATAATCAACTGAACTTGTGTATGAATAACATCTTTAAAACTTGCAATATATATCAAATTTCCAAATATTATAGCGATTGATAAAAGCATACGTTTTAAGCGTCAGGCTACTTACAACACATGTTTCGTCCGTTACTTCAATATCCAATATTGGCACTGATTCGGTGTGATCACAAGACTGATTTTTGTCATTTTCTGAACTTTCATCGCATTGGTTTTGAAGTACGACAGAAGGTTCCTGCATTCTATAAAAATTAAAAAAAATTGGTTTGACTTATCAACTGGCGGAAAAAAAAGTAAAATATATAATATACAAAATTACATTTATATTATAATTAGTTACAGTCTTTCAGAGTTAAAATGTTAACACTGTTATTCTTCAAATTGTATAAAAATAGATACGTGTTAAAAATCGCATCCATTATCTACAACCCTTAAAACGGAGACATCCACTTAACGTATATAACTATAGCTTACTGATCAATAAGGTGGAGATTGGATGTCATAAACGATAGTAAACAATTAATTGTTTCTTAATCAATTGAAGACAGCCGATAGGGAACAGTGCCAGACTCTACTCTTAACTCGGCAAACCTATAACAAAGCAAAACAAAAAGGCAACCTTTTCTGGGTTCCTGCTTCGATTTAAAGCGCAACGGCCGCCCCGATCTATTTTCACGTAACAATCTGTAACCCAAATATGTCTCTAACGAGATGATCACATATCACTCTTAGTGGAGGGATCACTCCGCTCGTGTATTGAAGATGTTTTTTTCTGAATTGTAGTGGCTTTTTGACTTTTGTTTATATGTTATTAAACCTTCACAGGAAAAGGTGATTTTTCAGATTGGGTACACTTATTCTAATCTTGTTGATTACTTTTGAATTAAGAGATGTACTTTCATTTTCGTTTTGGTTTCGTTAAATTGGGCTTTAGGTATACTCGTACCTAACATGTATAAAAAACAACACTTTATTTATAGAGTATAAAAGACACGTTTAGCTTAAGAACCCAATCTGCCACGCAGTCCTCTTGGTAGTCAAACACATGTGTAAGTTAAAAGATAGCCATTATTTATTTACACATTTATTATTTCTAAGATAATATCACAGTTTTCTTCATTTAAAATACCAAAAAATACAACAAGCTAAAGTAGATGTATGTGTTGTTTGCTAGTCCTTTATTTGGCGAGTTTAAAGGGTGACAACCGATAACGTGTGGTATACAGTTAGGGCACTAACGCTACAAGTAACAGGTAAAAGATCATCCCATGTAAGGTTCTTCTTCAGCTACGTAACCTTTGAAATACCGGTAACAGATCAGACTTCAAATATCACATATATCTGCAGCCCGAGCAGCCCGTGCAGAATTGGATTTTTTTTATCTTCTCCTAAGGGGTCAATGAATAAAAATTCCGTTGACTCATTGCCACATTTGTGATCCAGATTTATTTCATTTTATTTAATTGCTGATTTTTTCGTCTCGGCGATGTCCCCCAAAGCACTTACCTTTGTATGACTTTAGCTGTTGTGAGAACGTTACGAGCTGTAAGCCCAAACAATTCTGCCGATCAAGTGTAAATTGAAGAAGTTAATAAATCTTAGGACATAAATCATGCAATTTCACTTTCGTTTTGATTTCCAGGATGCCCTAAATCGGGCTATGTGCATTTGTTGTTTGCAAATCCTTTATTCAGTGAGTTTAAAGTGTGACACCCGATGCCGCAAGGTATACAGGTGGGTCACAAACGCTACGAGTAACACGTAAACGAGCTATTATTAGGAAACATTAAACTACTGGTAACAGATCAGACGGCGACATACGTCAACCCCAAGTTAAGCTGTCTGCTCATGTACGTTTATCCCAAACAGACTATCGACGAGTAAGACTTGACATGAAGTAGATACGATAATGGGAAATTACGTGTTAAAATAAAGATTCTTTATGAACAAAGTCTGGCCCACACATGGCGACAAAAATAAACCACATATATGTGCAGCCCGTGCAGAACCGTTCTTTTCTTCAGCGTTGTGGTCAGTGAAGAAGAAAAAGTCTTCTGGCCCCATTGTAACATTTGTGATCCAGATATTTTTTTTCACTTTCTTATATTTTCGTGTTTATGGTCTCCCATTGAACTAGCCTTTGTATGACTTTAACTGTTGTGAAAACGTTACGAGGTGTAATCCCAAACAAACAAAGATGCACATTGACTACATTGTATAATTATATAGATAGTGATGCAAATACTGCATACAAACACGTATATTATTATGTTAAATAGCACGATAGCTGAACCTCTGTCCTGTTACAAAATAATACTTACGCCATTGTATCACTGCCAACACGGAAGATATGATCCTGCTCTACACATGCGCATAAGGGGAAGGTTGGGTAACTTTGATCACTCTAAAGTTTTCATCTCGTCCCGGATTGCCGTGTGACAGTGTTTGGTCGCGTATTCGGTAATGGTTGTATGAAAACGTCTCAAAACTAATCAAATTCAACATTTTTGGTGTTCCCCTTTTTTATTTACAGCTTTGGACGGAGTAAATGAATCTTAATAACGATTCGGGTAAATTCGATCACGGCATCGGGGGATTTCCATCAGACGTATCGTAGAACGATTCCTCATGCTATTTCCACAGCCAAACATCTAACTTTGATATAATTGATTCAGTTTGGGTGAATGCGAATGCTCAGCTTCCAAATACAAGATATAACCACAGACTTAGATAACAATCTAATTCCGTGATATAACTTACAAGAAGTTTTTTTTAAAGTCGCATGGCCCCGTTATAGACTTGTACAAGCCCAAACCGTGTTTCCCCCATTTTTTTTTTTTTAATTTGTTGAATTGTTTTCAAATATTGAAACTATCCCGTGCTTTGTGACAAACAATGAAATATCGTTGTATCGACGTTAGATTTGACTATTCCTAATGCTCCCTACCTATCGTACAATAAGTCAAGAAGCACAAATGACCTTCTCCTCATACCGCGTCAACTTAACATAAGTCACGCCGATATGACAAGATGACTTATTGTTAGGTGTATCTTAAACAGTTCATGGAAGCAGAATTATATTTGGAAAAACGGTGAGAAAAATGTTATTTAGTTTCCTTCGATAAGACGTTAGATCACTGTGGGAAGGGATAGAAATCTAATGTACAGAACTCCTGGCCTGAGGTCGGAACAAAGCCATTGCAGCAATCCATTGTCTATTGAAGGAGCTTATACCTACATGTATTTTTTAATCTTAGATACTTTTGTGTAGTTGTAGTTTGCTGCTGCATCCGTCAGCTTTTATACCGACCGTCTGGGTTGCATCTTGTTATTTTTTTTTTCATTTATAACAGAGACAATAAAAAGTAACCACCGTTTCACGTGAAATCATTGATTTTATATATATATATATTCTGTGTCATAAAAAAACAATTTAAAATGTTAAATGTTTTGTCTGTTTCCAAACAGTTGAAAGTCAGGGTCAGACAAATATAATCGATATACAGTATTCGATATATAAAAGTGTTTACCAAAATATTCTTCCCGGACCTGCAAAAAGATGGCCGACACTTTTCTGCATGGTGCTCATGACAGGTCATCTCAGTCTGTTTTTAGATGAAATAGAACTGGTTAAAAGCTGTAAGCGATGATTCATGCGTAGCGAGGGTCTAATAATGTTGGCGAAATCGATATATAACAATGCTATCCGTATTTTGTTCCGATTTCAGCTACTTTTGTGATTGTTGTCATTTGAGGCGTTGCATACCTGTACTTTGTTTATAGTAATACCCTTATTTTTTATATGATATATATCTCAATTTACAGCCAGAATTGCAAACACCTTGGCCATTTGAACGGCATGTTCGAGCCACAGTCGTAGCTGGAAAATTGTTATTAGAAATTTCTCTTATAAATATGTATTTACGTCAAACCAACTCGTGTCTAATAAAATGGATGTAATCTACATATCAGTAGAATGTAACAACATTAGTGTATTATTATTAAATACACTGTCTTTGACCACGGCGAAAGCAATTTATATATGTTACGTGAAATAAGTGTAATCATACCCTATTTATATATGTTACGTGACATAGATGCAAACAACGCTATTCCAATATGTCACGTGAAATAGGTCTAGCTAGCTAAAGGTATTGTCAGAAAGTTCGTATTATTGTCCTGAAATGTGTGTAATCAGGAATTACGTGTTATTGGTCGAGGTGTTGGTTTCACATAGTGTAAGAAATAACCTTTTGTTCTTCCCACTGCCTATTTCAAGACAACGCCAACCAATAACATTGCAACAGATAAGACGTTACATACACGTTGACATCACAAAAATGCTGACGTAATAAATATAAAACGTGGCAAATGTTCATTTAAATGCACGACAATAATTACTAAAAGATTTAGGGACCAGGTCTTATAGCTGAGCAATTTCGTAAATGTATATTTTAACTGAAATAATGATTTATTAGAAGTCTCCGATAAAAAAAATATAAAAAAAAATATAAAAAAAATAAATAATAATAATAATAATAATATTCGTATTTCTTAGCACATAATTTCATGTATGTTATAAATTCCAGTCATGAGAAATACAACAATTTTTCTCATTTTAAGTAGCGAAGTTGCTGCATACATGAAATCAATTTTTATGACATCTCCTTTTTATTGAATGCTATTAAAAGTTATTACATATGTATACCATGTTATGATTGCATAACATATAATACGAGACATATTATCTTCTTTGCTTATAAAAATGTCACACAAAACAAAGTATATTAGGAAACAACAAAGTACAAGTAACAGTATTTACACAAACTAATTACTATGAATACTACAGTGTATATTACATATGTGGTGTGAATGTATTCCAGCGTACCATACTGTTGTATGTTTAAAACGACAGCATACTTATCTATTACGACAAAAAGGAGAATCTTCGTTTATGAGGACCAACCAGTTTGTCTGGTTTTAAATGTAATATTTCCGGTACAAATAACTCCGGTTTAGGAACTATAATTCGTTCTTTGTCTTAAATGGGGAGTGAATAAAATCCAAAGTATGTTCAGTTACATATCGGTATACGTTAAACACGTATTGGTTATTTGTTATCCCATCTCATGAACCGCATTGTAATACAGTCGTTTCTTGGTATGTGACGCACACCACTTCATAATTTCAAGTGCATTTGCACATCTGAAACATATGAAATGTCATGCGATCACGTACATTATCAACACCGTTCGAATAATGTGTTGACCACAGATTTTTGAATTCTGACCTGTTTATCGATAGTGACGTTAATCTGCTGATGCTTTTTGCATAGCTTTTTCAATGTCCCGATATTACAAGTAATTACATCTGTTCAATGTCATCGATATCACAAGTAATAATATATGTACAATGTCACCGATATTACAAGTAATTACATCTGATCAATGTCAACGATATTACTAGTAATTACATCTGTACAATGTTAACGAAATACAGACCCGTACACGTTCGCTGTTCCACCTTGGACGCAAACGGTACGGAAGTGCTACGCAAACGGTACGGAAATGCTACGCAAATGGTACGGAAATGGTACGCAAGTGCTACGCAAACGGTACGGAAATGGTACGCAAGTGCTACGCAAACGGTACGGAAGTGTTACGCAAACGGTACGGAAGTGCTACGGATGACGCTTACAAACGGTGATTCGTTTGTGGTGACAAGAACGGGTTTACATAAAAAGCGGAAGCATATGAAATATCTAAAACGAAACGAACATACCCACAATGCATAGGAAGAAACGTCAGTACACTGTAGGCTACGAGGATAAAGATAGATCGATGTAATATATCCATCACAAAGACCTGACGTACAATAACAGATCAACGCGACATTCAGATAATAATAAGTTATGGTCAGAGATATTTCTACCTGCTTACCGAATAAAGTACTAATTAATATTGACAGTAAGTAAACTTGTTACGGTTGTTTTTAACGAGAAACGTAATAATTAATTAGCCTAATAATAATGAAAAATGATATAATTTCAGACTCCTGTGTTAAGGATCCAGTACCTCTATTTCTATTTTTTATATCGTCTTTAATACTTCCATACACTTTTAGATTTTCCGTAGGATTTGGAGACCGATAATGTGCTTATTTATTAGTACATGCAAATACATGCATCGGAGATTTGAAATGTATACATGTTATACCATGTCTATTAATTAAATTTCATTCACAGATACACAGTTTTTTTTGTTATACATCTTTTATTTTATTATGAAAATGAAGTTGATTCTTGTTTAAGTATACATTATATAAAAATATCAATAAACCTTTCTTTGATTAATTAATAAATCTTGTTGTCGTTAAAATAATATTTCCAAATATATCCTAGGCCTGGTTAATCCCAGCCTCTGATATATACTGTCCACTGTGTAACTTGCTAAAAGCGCTAAGTGGTACTAATTGGTCAGCTGTTTAAAGGTCAATTATCTTTTTCAATGAACCATGTAATTTCATAGGTACACTATCCCGGAACCGCTTGACTGATTTTTGACACCTTTATAATTATCACACACAGAGAGGGCACTCCGTTAACAAACTTACTATAGACAGAGACGTTTTGTAATATATATGTCTCTGCTATAGACAACACTCTATTTACTCAGGAACTCAGTCACATGATGACAATAAAGTTATCTTCATAATGATTTTTTTTAATGATTACTGAAAAAATATCATCATTTTCAATAATCTGATATGAAAAGTTTGTTACGTATTAGGGTTAGTATTCAACCTTGCTCACTGATAACAGAACTCATGATAAATTATTAAAAAAAAATAGATTAGTTTTAAAACAAATCATCTACGTCAGAAGTTAAATATCCTAATAAGGCACTTTTTTTTATTATTAAATTAGGAATTCCAAGTTCCAAATATTAGTTTACCTTTGTTAAGGCACTGTTGTGAAATGAAATTGTGCCTGGGGCTGTCATTTCCTGATCGAGGGACAGCCAAAGTAGCTTACCTGTAGGTTTTTACCTTGAACTGATTTACCTGTATACAGCTGTACGTGGTGGATAGACAATGAACTGGATTAATTGACATGGACTTAATTGACTTGAAATCACAGAATGTGACCTTGATCAGGTACAGCACATCAGAATCCAATGTGACCACAGGTGAATGGTCAATGCATTATCACTGCCTAGATTCTCAGGTATGTAGATATCATATTGAAAGAAATATATCTGTCAGCGGGGGGTCATGTTGTCCTAACAACCTTTATAACGGACACCAAATTTGTTTATACCTTAAACAAGGGACAGGTCATTACCACATGGCCAGCTGTATGCCTGTTATTTAAGTTACCACTAAGGCCTAGATGCTGGTGTGGGGAACATACAGTAGGCCCATGGGAGGAGGGCTGTTACGTCCATGTATGTGTAAACCGTCATTTTTGTGGATTTTTCCCTTCAGATTATTATGATGGTTGGAATAATTTTTATGTAATGCGGTTTATAATGTTGTTTTTTTACAATTCGTTTCGGCAAATATATATTCTGTAAAATTTTCGACCGAATGTTTCACAAACGCTTTTTAAATGGAAAGATGTAGACGAAAGTGCTACGGAAACGATACGGAAGTGCTACGGAAACGCTACGCAAGTGCTACGGAAATGCTACGGTAAGGGTACGGAAGAACTACGGAAATGCTTTGCAAGTGATACGCAAGTGCCACGCAAACGGTACGGAAATGCTACGCAAACGGTACGCTGAAAGTGGAACAGCGAACGTGTACGGGTCTGTAACAAGTTATTATTTTTTCATATTATTTCCGACAAATGATTGGCCAGAAGTGCATCACGTGTCCATCGATAAAAACCGATATTGACTTGGAGCGCCTGATTTTTGTTGAAGGAATGGGTATTTCTAAAATGGAATTATAACGTATCTCCAAACAATGCACTGTCCCACTTCTGAAGTTTGTTTGTTGTGATTTTTTCAGATTGCTTACGTTACTGTTTTGTAAAATGATAAAACAATTGTAGTCTTTAACTTCGGTCAATATTTGGATTTATCGACCTCAGTCAAAGGCTACAACTGCTATACAATGTCACCGATATTACAAGTAATTACATAAGTACAGTGTAACTGATATTTCAAGTAACTACATCTGTACAATGTCACAATAATGCACCATTTAGTGATTACATATCATGAAATATGAGCCCTTTTATCATCTTTGCTTATAAAAATGTCACACAAGGAAAAGTGTACAATGAAACGAAATCGAGTAACAATATTTACACAAATTAATTGCTATGAATACTATATTACATATGTGGTGTGGATTTTAATTTAAGCATGGCATACTTTTGTTTGTTTTAAACGATAGTATACTTATGTATTGAGACAAAAAGGAGATTTTTTGTTTATGAGGAACAACCAGTTTGTCTGTTTTTAAATGTAATATTTCGGGTACAAATAACTCCGGTTGAGGAACTATAATTCGTCTTTGTCCTAAATGGGGAGTAAATAAAATCAAACCAGTGTAATCTGCGACATATATCGGTAAGCGCTTACCACGTATTGATTATTTGTGATCCCAGCTCATTATAACACATTTTTTTTTTAAATTTGTTGCACACCACTTCATTATAGATTGTATGATTTTTGATTTCAGTGTCTGGTGTGATTCTTCTATATGTATACAATCCGTATCAAAGACTTAATAATTGCAAGTGCATTTGCACATCTGAAGTACATGTCGTTCCATGCCATCACGTACTTTATCACTGTCGGTCAAATAATGTGCTGCCCAAAGATTTTTGAATTCTGACTTGGAAATACCTAGTGAAAGTAATCTGCTTATGCTTTTGGCATAGCTTTTTGAGAACTTAAACCGATCACAAATAGATATACATGCAAAGGCGGCAACAATTGATGGTGAGATTTGCGGCTTTATGTTGTTATTCGCTTCCCAGGAGAGGTCATCAATTAACGGCGTATTGGTTGCGCCAAAATGGACTGAAGTCCTCGTCTGCAATGTTGACCTTCTTGGTGTAGTAATTGTTTGGTGAAACCCTGAGGTCGGTTTTTGTGATGTTGTTGATGATGTGAGAAACGCCTTCACAAGTTCTGCTAAATTATCTTTCCATCCAGCCATATAATGAGAGGACATTGGGATTTTAAACTGGTACATCTTTTCTGTAATAAATGTTTTCTTTAAATATAAATAATAATGTATAAAAAATAAATTAGATAACAATCTTATTCACATAACTTAAACAAGGTCATTTAAACATCACACCTTGATTAAACAACAAACACTGATATTAGTACTCTCCAAGCGAATAGAATGTACATTCATTCGTATACTGTCATCTATACTATTTAAAATGGCAGACATTCCAATAATGTACATACTAATAAATATCAGGTGCACAAATATACTTCAAATAAACTTAATAAAGTCCCTGTTCCACTGAATGCAATATGGCAGACATTGAAATCACATACATACTTACAACAACCACGTGCACTCATATACTTCAAATAGACTCTTAAAGTGCACCCTGAACGTTTGGCTCTATCAAGCTATGAAAATACTTTAAATTTTACAATAAAAAGAAAGTGTGAACGTCGTAGTTGACTCCGCGTCCGAGGTATTGCGATTTATCTGAAAACACACCTTTGGCTCAGCGGCGATCGACTCGATATGGGTAGCCCACTTCTGTGACGTCATAAGTTCAACGCTGTCAAAACAGCTCTATAGGAAAGCGTCGACTGTTCGTTCGCTATGTGAGCTTTTTAGTTACTTTTATGATATATTCCATCGTCACCTACGTATGTAAATAATATTTAAAGACTACACACGTATAAATGATGTTTTTTTTACAATTTTCATGAAGAAATGAGTCCTCCTGAGGAGGCAAACTATGAAAAACTATATGAATAAGTGTTTTCATTTTTACATAATTGGTTAATATAGTGACTGAAAATAGTTTACTTTTTATTATTAAATCGATCGTTAGAAAATTTGATGAACACATATACAACACGAAACAATCGATTAAAAATTGAGTGAAATTAACGTAGTTTCTTTGCAATATGTAGATATACGATTAGAATTGACAAAAAATGCACCGGTACAACAATATATACTCAAAATGAGCAGCAACCCGTGTTTTTTTACTCCCTGTCATAAAACTCGAAACGTTTTTATTATTTATGCAATCCAAGGAATTAAGCACATGATAAATATACACACCACTTCTTAGAATATTAAAGGGGGAGAATCGAATCTGCCGATATAATGTGCATAGCATGGTCCAGCTTTATTTGCCTCGTTTCTGACTTTCATCTGTCGAGTGATGCAATTGTACTGATTGTGGTTTGCATATAATGTGACTCTGTGACAGTATTTACCCATTTCATTTATTAATATTTTTCTTGAAATTGATCCTTATACCAGAGAAGTAATATGTACGTCTCTGCTTATACATTTCCCCGTTATCTCGCCTAAGGATACTGTTGTTAAATTGTCATCTACATCAAATGCAATCTACATACTAACCACAGATACCCCATTGCCCACCTGCCGATATCCCTTTGATGTCATACCTGTAAACAGGTATATATGTGTGTCTTGGGCCTCCTGCTGTCAGTACTGGACACAGGTGTTTAGTGTTACTTACCTGTACACAAGTTTCACACCTATGCTAAGGGAGTGGATCGAGGTGATTTTCATTATTTAACCATGATGTTAAATTATAACTTGTGTATGCTACATGTATAGGGAAAAACAAAAATGTTTGAGTCTCATAATTCAATTATATTTTAGAGGTAAATGCAATCATGAAATTAGATAACATAAGTCCGTGATCATATTTAGCATAATGTATTGTATACAATTAAATGTGTAACTGTCGGTATTTTGCTGTTTATTTGAATTGTCGACCTATCATTCGATTTGGCATTACTAAAAATATTGATATTTAAAAACAGCAGACATCAACGTTTAAATTATTTTGTTAACATATTTCACTGATATATTTTCGTATTTTTGGACCATAGAGGTACCACAGTATATTCTGTGCAAGATAAATAATCCGGCACAGGAACTGGTCACGAAGTTGTGCTGTTCAATGACGACATGATTGGGTTAGTTTTTTTCTGTAGAGCAGAGACATATAAAGTATATACGTCTCTGTGTAGAGTAAAGAATTTATTGCAAACCAACTTTCTAGCTAAAATATATGTGATTGACAACATTGAGACTATTTCTGTTTAATTTACATCAAACGTGTTCATTCGAGAAAGAAATCTCATCAGTGCTCAGAATAAGGACATGCAATGCTACCAGTCTATGTTACCCTATATCAGAGTCGTCAGTTTGGTTTCAATTAAACTAACTGTCTGGAAATTCTGGCAAATTACAATATGACTAGATACTATCTACATAATGTTATCTTCAGCATAATCTGATTCCTCAAAACTAAAATTAAATATGAATTCGCAATCTGACGCTGTATGACAATGGCTGTTCTCGATATCGCCTTTTCCTTCGATGGTGACCGCTACAGGCGTTGAACTTGTGACGTCACAGCTGATGGGGGCCAATTCACCGCGAGTTCCGATAATGCCAATTAGTAGAAGAAGGACAGGTGAAAAGCCTCACTTTACACGTCGATATCTCGGTATCAGGATGACAGTTTCGAAATTTTTATGTTTGGATCATATAAAAAGATAACATATTAATTTCTATTTTCGTTCAGGGTACACTTTAAAGAAACCCGTCCAACTGCAGGCAAGGGGATCCTTCAATAGCAAATCACATTAGCTTAATAATAAGGGGGTTCGCAAAGTCTGGAATGTTACTACTGAGGGAACTAGATATATTTACTTACTTTCAGCTTCTGTTACACTGAACACAAATAGATTCTCAAGTAGCTTGGCTCTGGCATTAGATACTTCCAGTTGAAGCCTTAGGCTGACATTTTCGTAGTCTGCAACTGCCTTTAGCTCTTCGGTTTTCAGGTATGAAGCTAACCTCACGACAGATTCTTTACCCGTGTGGAGATTATATCGGTCGATCCAGCGTAGGTATGTGACGACCCGAAAAGGCGGTATGTATATATCCGCCTCGGAGACAGACTCCACGCGTTGTCGGATGACATCAACACATTCTGTGATCAAGTTTTCTGTCCGATACTCATCTGCTAAAGGTATTACTGTATCCAGATTTGTATCTGTAAATACACAGGATTTAGAGGGAAGTATGATTTATTTTGTTACTATAAATCCAGATGAAATTTCAAATATTGTTCTACGCCATCTTCCTTCACATATAAACAGATAATCCTAGTAGATAATATTTATGTATTTGACATAATTTAACATTATTTTAAAATGTGTTTTGACTGAAATGTTACTCCATTGAAACAAATTATATATCCATTGTAATACCATTAATCATTGAGTGATCCCACGCGATTTCCGTCGTGTATAGAGTATATCCTGCGGTAACAGAGTACAGTAGAAATGGCCTGATCCTATAAATTAAAGGACATGTTTCAAATAAACATGGATAGTGGATTCAACCTGCACAACACACCTACATAATTATATATCTATAAACTACATTTTGAAAAAAATTGTTTAGAAGACTTAATTGTTTGTCAAAAACCGTTTTCCCTAGATTTAATTACCACATCAAAAAACACAAAAAAATATCACCAATGGCCACCGTACGCTACTGTACACTCCTACCTATACAACAGGAACAACCTCTGCTCTGAGCGCCAACAAATATGGACATACTCCTGTCATTCCTACAGAAGAAGAAGGATTTTAAAGCTAATTTTCTATTTTCCCTATTTGGCCCCGCCCGTCTACCCCAGGGGGTTAAAACCCGCAGTTTATACAAATTTGGGTCCCCGACACCCAAAGGTGCTTCGTCCCAAATTTGGACAAAATCTGTCATTCCTACAAAAGAAGAACTATTTTGAAGAATTTGCTATGTTTCCCCTATTGGGCCCGCCCCTCTGCCCCAGCGGGTCAGACCGAACGTTTATACAAAATATAGTTCCCTTCACCAAAGGATGCTTTAGACCAAAATATGGACAAAATCTTGTCATTCCTACAGAAGGAGAAGAATTTTAAAGGATTTGCTAAATACCCCTACTGGGCCCGAACCCACAGGCCCCAGGAAGGTCAGACCCACCATTTATACAAAATTGATTTCCCCAAAGGATGCTACTGTTCAAGTTAGGTCAAAATACATTCATCCCAACGGAAAAAAAAAGAATATTAAAGCTATTCCTCTATATCCCTTATTGGCCCGCCTTTCTGCTCCCAGGGGGGTCAGACGAAACTGTTTATACAATATTGGGTCTCCTTCACCAAAGGTTGCTTCATACCAAATTCGACAAAATCCTGCACACTCACTGTTTTAACAAAATTAAGTCCCTTTTGCCCAAGGATGCTACAGACTTTTTTAGGATAATGACCCTTAATCCCTACAGAAGGAGAAGGATTTTAAAGGTTTTACTTCTATTTCACCTATTCGGCTCGCCCCTCTGCCCCGCGGGTGGCCACACCTATCATTTATACAAAATTGAGATATCTTGACCTAAGGATGCTCGAGACTAAATTAGAATAAAATCAGTTAATCCCTACAGTAGGAGAAGGATTTTAAAGGTTTTACCCCTATTTCCATTATTTGGCCCTGTTCCTCTACTCCCAGGGAGGCAACACCCACCATTTATACAAAATTGTGTCCCCTTTGCCCAAGGATGCTCCAGACTATTTTAGGATAATGACCCTTAATCCCTACGGTAGAAGAAGAATTTAAAGGTTTTACATCTATTTCCCCTAATCGGCCCCGCCCCTCTGCTGCCCCCAGGGTGGCCACACCCACCATTTATACAAAATTGAGTCTCCTTGGCCTGAGGATGTTCCACACTTAATTAGGATAAAATCCCTTAATTCCTACAGTAGGAGAAGGATTTTAAAATGTTTATCCCTATTTCCATTATTTTGCCCCGATCTTCTACCCCCATGGGGGCCACACCCACCTTTTATACAAAATTGAGTCCCCTTGGCCTATTTAGTCAAAAATTACTCGGCCGTTCAGGACTTGTAGCGTTTTAAAGGAAAAGTTGACGGACGTACGACGGACGAACAGTCGACAAACGCTGCGGTACACTGTATTGCATAAACTCAATATGGTCCTTTAGACTAGGCGAGCTAAAAACCGCCCTATCGCTAGGCTGATACTACCAAGGCGGAATAAACATCCGCTACGTTTTCAAACACTACTGTTTTTTTTACAAATATTTGTGACTGCTTGTCGAAATGATCATACCCAAACCAAGACAGAGGCATCGTTGTGTACGGATGTTTGTGAAATCTCTGCAATTATGAATACTGAACCAGTCCTATTCTAATTCTATCAAATGTGCTTATACTCACATTTATTTTGTAAACTCAAATTGTTACTAAAGAAAGATGACCATAGTTACAGTACATTTTTATCATTACCTGTAACTTTGTCAGGGAAAAAGGGCAGAAGGCATTTTAGGAATGTGGCCATCTCATCATATGTTTTCCCATGGAACTCCAGCTTCCTTTTAGTGTCGTCAGAGCACTCGTCTTGTTGCCACTCTTTCTTAAGCCAAGCCTCAAAAACAGGTGAAGCTGATTCTAGTAAGGCTTTGTTTACATGAAGATTTTTTTCTTCGACTACCAGTATCACATCGTTTGGCAGGAAGCCTGGATCCATCTGAGCCTAAAATTTGATGAAAGTTTTTACGGACATGTCCAAAGAATTCTTTCAGTGTCAGTTACTATTATTCATTCATTCGTCAAAAGTCTCGTAATCAGAGTAATACTACTCAGTCAAAGATTATGAGAATTATAAAAAAGATGTGAAATTGGGAAGCTTTATCCCTGAATTCAAGGAACTCACCAGATTTTGTTCCTGATGTCAATTACGAACGCTTTACAGGAATAACTTATCCAGCATCCTTACATATTACATTTGGTGATCCTTACTTTAGACATGGGCTGGTTGTTGTATCTTCTTGTTTTTTTTAGTAATATTATAAAGTATAATCAACTGAACTTGTGTATGATTAACATCCTGATAAATTAATATATATCAAAATTTCCGAACGTTATAGCGATTAATAATAGCATACATAGGCTACTTACAACACATGTTTCGTCCGTTACTTCAATATACAGTATTGGCACTGGTTCGGTGTGATCACCAGACTGATCTTTGTCGTATTCTGAACTTTCATCGCATTGGTATTGAAGAAGAACACCAGGTTCCTGCAGTCTATAAAGATTTAAAAAAAACAGGTTTGACTTAGCGTACATAATTATCAACTGGCGGAAACATAAATGTAAAAATATATGATACAAAATTGTATTTATATAATTATTAGTTACAGTCTTTCAAAGTTAAAATGTTAACACCATTATTCTTCAGATTGTATAAAAAGTAGATACGTGTTGAAAATTGCATCGATTATCTGCAATCCTTAAAACTGAGACATCCACTTTTATAACTTACCAATAAATAAGGTGTAGATTGGATGCCATTAACGATAGTAAACAAATAATTGTTTCTTAATCAATTGAAGTTGATTTTTTAAGAAGACTTCTGTTTAGTTAATGAACAAAATGAATGTCTCTATATTTTGGTATCATTATCTAAAAAAAATGTTAGTGTTCGTTGGAGTATATATCACCAAAAAAATATACTCTTACCTCGGCAAACCTATGAAAACGCAAAAAAAACCGGCAACCTTTTCGGGGTACCTGCTTCGGTTAAAAGAGCAACGGCCGCCCCAATCTATTTTCACGTAACAATGTGTAACCCAAATATGTCTCTAACGAGATGATCACATACCACTCCTAGTGGAGGGATCACTCGGCTCGTGTATCGATGAAGATGTTGTAGTGGCTTTTTGACTATTGTGTTTATGTTACTAAACCATATCATGAAAAGGTATTTTTTCAGATTGTGTACACTTATTCTAATCTTGTTGATTAATTGTAATTAAGAGATCTACTTTCACTTTCGTTTTGGTTTCTTTAAAATGGGCTTTTAGTATAATCGTACTAGCTGTGACCCCAAACAAACAAGCAGATATGTACAGTGTGTACACATTTCCCAATTCTACTGATCAAGTGTAAATTGAAGAAGTTGATAAGTCTTCGTACATAAATCATGCAATTACGCTTTCGTTTCGATTTCCGGGATACCCTTAATCGGGCTATGGGAATTTCTGGAAATTCTTTATTCCGTGAGATGTAGGGTAACACCCGTCAATGCAGGTGGGCATCAATGCTGTGAGTTACAGGTACACGAGTTATTAAAAGGAATCATTAAACTACCGGTAACAGATCAGACGGCGACATACGGACCTACTGCACAAATATATTTGTATGTCAACCCCACTTAAACCCCTTGCCGATGTACGTCTATAATGAGAAAAATTGTCGACGGATAAAAATTGACAGGCAGTAGATACAATACTGGGACAATACTTTTTATCTTCTTTATCAACTCCGGCCCACACAGGATAACAGAGACTGCACAAATATGTGCATCTAATGCAGAACCGGGTTTTTACTTTTGCTTTGGGGTCAGTGAAGAAGATACAAATCTGCTGTCTCCATTTTAACATTTGTGATCAAGAATTGTTTGTTTCCACTCCCTTATTCTTTCGTTTGTATGGTATCTCCAAATGTACTAGAATGACTTTAACTTCTGTAAGAACGTTTATTTCTGTAATCCCAAATAAACAAACAAACAAACAAACAGATATGTACAGTATGTACACATTTTCCAATTCTGTTGATCAAGTGAATATTATTGAAGTAGAAATTGAAGTCCACGTACATAAAACATGAACTTTCACTTTTGTTTTGATTTCCGGGATGCCCTTAATCGTGCTATGTGTACTGGATGTTTGCAAATCTTTAGTTCGTTAAGGAATAAAGAATGTAACAATAGGTGTAACAGGGAATTACATGGACTATAACTTAATGGATTGTTATGTAAAAATTACATCCAAACACATGTATGATATTTGTTAAACTGCTCACCAACTGATCCTCTATCCAATTACGAAATACTTACAGCATTGTATCGCCATCTCCGTTGCCAACAAGAAACATGTGATCCTGCTATTCACATGCACAGTATAAGGAATGGGCATGTTTGTACATGACTAATACAAATAACACTATATTATACCAATGACCAGAATAGCCCCAGTATTTAGTCAAAATAAAATGACATTGTAACAGATTACATATATAATGAAATGTATTCATCCCGTAATATATTTAGCGACACAGAATTGTACACTTTTTCAATTAGTATCAGTGATAAATATAATAACATATTATTGTCATAAATAATATAATATTATATTATCTTATACTACGTAAAACGAAACAGAAAAGATGTTGATTGTTACTTCCAACACGAAAACGGAGATTTAGTGTATAGTTTGCAGCTGCATAGACAATTGATGGGTGACCACTAAATCATCGTTGTACAAATTCAATATCAATTATGAGGTAAGGAGTTGATCGCTTTTACATAGTGTATAGATTAACTGAGTTTAACTCATGTAAGATAGAGTCGTCCTGGGTAAGAAAGAGGTGTAGGAAATTTCTATCTTACACCCCATTTCACGTGACGTGACGTCATAATGGCTCAACAATGACGTCACGAGTTCGGACGTGAATGCGGAAAAGGCGACGTGATGGAATCAAAACCTTTTACTATCGTACACGTTAGAAAGATGTGATTATTTGTTCTTTTGCCAGTATGGATATGCTTAATCTGGCTGGCTGATTCCAAACGCATTTTCATGGTTTCTTGGCTTATTCTGGTGGTTGGAATGAGTAGTGTAGTGATATGTTTATTATTCGTGTAACAGGAGCATTTATCACTGTAGTGATATGTATACGTAGTGAAATGCCTGCAGTTTTTGTTTCTACTATTTTCATTTATGTATTCAGCTATCTAATTATTTTGTCTTTTGTCCTGTTCACATAGAATAAGATTGTACGGGGAGACCTGCTCGACCATGTGGGTTTCCGGACCAGCAATAATGATTTCAGATTCTTAGCGCGCTTCCATCTGGGCAAACAAGAATAAGTTATATTATCATAATTATTATAATCCGCGGTTCTTATATATCGCTTTATGCCAACCTAGGTCGTAGATCGTCTCAAAGTGATTCACAAATTAATATCCGTGGTTATTAGGCCCTTGAAACCAGCCAATGTCTTTCTCAACTCCATGTAGAATATACAGCCAGCGCTGCCACTTGGACGCTAACAGCTAGCATTTAACAATTCCAGCACTGCCCAACAAGGTACTCATTTACAGCTGATAAGACTGGAACAGGATAACTAAAGTATGTTGCTCAAAGATACAACAAAGTGTCCTGACGCGACTCGAACTCGCAACCCTTCAGTCACGAGCCTGGCGTCCTACTACCAGACTAAAGTGCCTTTTAATATAAGTTCGGGCTAGTACAGGTATGATCGTATCGAACGTGAGTGTTTATTTGTTTGCAAGTCCTTCATCGAGTTAATATTTCTTCGGCTTTGGGTCAACGGAGAAGAAAAATCTGCTATCCCCATTTTAACATTTGTAATCAAGATTTGTCTTTTTTCACTTCATTATTCTTTCGTTTCGGTGGTCTCTCCCAATGCACTAGTCTTCGTATATTGAAGAAGTTGATAAGTCCTCGTACATTTAACATTTACTTACACGTTTATTTTGAATTATGGGATGCCCTAAATCGGGCTATGCGTATTTGTTGTTGGAAAATCCTTAAGTCGGTGATTTTAAAATGTGACACCCGATACCGCAAGGTATGCATTGGAGAACCAATTTAACGGTACGATTAACATGTAAACGAGCTATTTAAACAAAACATGGATATACCGATAACAGATCAGACGGCGACATACGGACCCACTGTACGAACACATTTATATGTTAATTCTAATTTAAGCCCTTTGTCAATGTACGTCTATACCGAGAAAAATTGTCGACGGGTTAGATTTTACAGGCAGAAGATCATCTTTATCAACTCCGGCCCACACAGGGCAGCAAAGAATGCACATATCTATGCCTCCCGTGCAGAACCGTGTTTTTACTTCTGCTTTGCGGTCAGTAAAGAAGGAAAAACTGCTGTCCCCGTTGCAACAATAGAAACCAAGAATTGTTTTTGTGTTCACTTCCTTTCTCTGCACTAGCCTTTGTGTGACTTTAGCTGTTGGGATAACGTTAATAGCTGTCACCCTAAATAAACAAACAAACAAAAATGAATATGGACTACATTGGTTAACTAGATAGACGGTTATACAAATACATCATACAGACACATATGTTAAGTTGGTTAAATAACCCATCAACACCTATGTCCTGTTACGAAATACTTACGCCATTGTGGTGCCGTTTTGTTGTCAACAAGGAACATGTGACCTTGCTATACACATGCGTAGTATAAGGAATTGGCTTACACATATTGAGCATATCTTTGTATATGACTAAAACAAATAACACTACAGCCCATCAATGACCAGAAGAACCACAGTCATTTGTTAACATAGAATGACATTGTACTAGGTGAAAGATATTATGAAAGGAATATACAAGCTATTACAGCCATGTTGGTCTCTGTGGAGTATAACATATATACAGGTATATCACGTAATATATCAATAGTGACACAAAATATGTACAATTTACAATTTAGTAGAAGTGATATATATTATAACAAGTTATCACATTTTATGTAAAACGAAACAGAAAACAATTTGCACCTTCATATGCCAATTGATAGGGAATCGTGCAATTCTGATTTTTTCAAATTTAAATATCAATTATGAGATAAAGAGAAGGTCGCGTCTACGTAGTGTATAATTTTATTGAATATATAGAGGATATCTGACTTAATTTGTTAAGTTGTTATCCACAGAAAATAAAAAAGAAATAACTAATTTGGCCAAATATGTAAGAATCGCTAGTAGAAAACAACAAAAATGTACTGAATTAAGTCAATTGTATCTAGTGTTTGTCAGTCATACATTAATATGGACCTATCATCAAATGTTATTCATTTATTAATAACATTATTTTAATCTGTGCAAGATATCTCTCTACACTTCTAGGAGTAGGTGCGGAAGTGGTGTGTATGTGTGTTGTTGTTTAATTGTTTACTTTATGTTGCACTGTATATATGCACAACTGATGAGTTGTAAAGCTTAAGGCAATATATGAACTTTAACTTGAACTTGGACTTCAGTAATACTTAATTTTTCTCACTCGTGTGGCTAATATTTTCATATATTTCATGAGTGCACAACACGAGTGAAAGAGATCAAAATATTAGCCACACGAGTGAAATATATTTGGTATTACTGAAGACTCTGTTCGATTTTCTATTTCTTACATTTCGTTTTACGAAAAACGACCCCGGAACGCGAAGCGACATATCAAGCTGACAATATTTGATCTGGATCTTTTTACCACTAGCATGTCTAGAAAACCGGTACCTACGAGACAAAACAAAGTTCATATATTAAATAAACTATTCCAAATTACTATCATCATGCAATTATTTAAGTCCCGTCATATCAACTCAGATCTTTACACATTGTTAATAAGAGCCGAATATAAAATGGCGGAGAGTTGGAAAATATGGAAAATATAGAGTTGTTGTTCTGTCACTTAGCCTCATCAATACCATCTATGTAAGTTATACTTAATCACTATCACTGTCAGAGATGACATCGTAATCACCTGTATGTGTGTTACTTTCATAGGGATATGAAGGCAATCAAATACTGATAAAAAATATATTTTTACAGATTACCAGTCTTAAGTTGATTGCTTAGGGTTGAAAATCCTATCCACAACTAAGGTCAATTAAGGATGTGCCTCAATGTGTGTTGTGTGAGCGTGCATGTGTGTATGTGTGCTAGAGGGAAGGTATTTTGATGGACTTGCCTCCTTGTGACAACGCAGATCTGATGCCGACTTTATAGTGATATCTCACTGAAATACCATGCCGAAGGCACTCAGCACAGTATTCCGCTCGGCCTTAAGGGAATAAGATAAATCGTTACTGAATTATGCATAGAATGTACTAGTTTGATAAACTTTGGATCACTGTACACTTCTTTGTATTAGAATATGTACATTGTAATACTGTTAACGTACGTCTTTTAACAGTGTGTTAATCTTAGCTCTTTTGTCGCTTTAAAAACATCCGCTAAATTATAATTTCACTAATTAATTATTTTGTATATTGTTTTCTATTGAGAATATTGTGAGTTTTCTATTTTATTTATGCTAGATTTAATCCGCTCAATTCTAGAAAACGCTTAGATTTGAGTCCGCTAAAATCAGTACTTTTACAGTATAATATTTCAAACAATAGATACAATTCACTATTTCTCCCGATAGTAAATTGCTAAGCGCTGTACTAGTTATCAATGTTGTAATTGATTCGCTAGACAGGTACACGAAATAAATTTGATGGGATGGTTCTTGATATTGATGACCAAGACAACAGGTTAGAAGTTAATTAGAAAGACCTGCCTCATTAAAAAGTCCATTGCTACCGATACGAAAGAAAAAACAAGATTAACACTGTTATCGGAAAGTAATACTGAAAAATTCGTTCAGAAAAAAAGACCTTAACCAAATAACATAAATGACATTCGTGTGAAAAAAAATTGGTGAAATGCCTAAACATCGAGTTTCTATCGTTGCGTTGCGTTCCATGTTTTGGAAAAAATGGCTTCAGAAAGATAAAGTACATGAGTTGCAAAGGTCTCGAAACAAAACAATGCGGCCTTGAACAAGATTATTTTTTTCTGTGGTCATGATGTGTATATATTGTTTATCAATGTGAGGAGGCTTTCGTTGACTCAGCCAAGTTGCACAATTATTTTTGTATAGAGCATTTATATACAATTCAATATCCTTAAATACATTTGTACGGTTAATACGAAACAAGGTACAATAGTTCATTTACTTATGCCGTCTTCATAAACACTCTCGGATTTTAACGTACTATATATAGTCCTCGTTTGTCTTTTCTGAATAGAGCCAGAATAATTATTTCTGCTGGTACATATGTACATGAAATTATATGAATTTGAAAATGTAATTGACCGAGGCGAACATCACATTTAAGGTTCATATCACATCTTATTATTTAGCTATCTAATGTATTACATTCGTATGTCTTTTCTGGACCGGCAATACTACAACCAAACTCGGCCTATATTGATAAAATTACCACAACTCAGCCAATATTATTTTGGTCGACTTTTTCCCGATATTGGCCGACTTTTAACTCGGCTAATATGAAAAATGCGCCAAATCGAGCGTGCACTTCATTCGGAATTTCTCGTGGTTGTTGGTTATTTTTGACGTTCGGTCCTGTGTCAACACAAACAAGGGCCAATATGACTGACCGAGGCCTAATAACTGGGCCAATATGGAATTAGCTAATTATTGACCTTTTATTAATTAACTATGTAGATATATAAACAATGAAACAGGTAATTCTTACATGTTTAATCAGAAAACACATTTGTCACATTTTCGTCAAGCATCTGAGCCCCTGTTTTTGTGTGCCTGTCAGAGATCCGCTCCATTCTTGTCTGTTTATAGACATGTATGTATGCTGTCGCCTGCGCCAGGAACATATCGGGATTTGCCGTAGGATAAGACGTTACCTTCTGGTGAGTTCGGAACGGTTTACCGGGCGCGTTCGATTACGCGCGCTTTCTCGTATTGGCCGAGTTTATCAAAAGTCGGCCAATATTTTCCATAAAGGCCGACTTTTTTCAAGATTGGCCGACTTTGTGTAATAATTCCGATATTGGCTGAGATTGTAGATTATATTGCACGGGCAGTTTATTTCATATTACAGCAATATCTACACAGTCAATTAATAAAAGTGTCATAAATCAGCCGATATCATATTGGCCCAGTTATTAGGCCTTGGTCTGTGATATTGGCCCGAGGCCAAAGGCACAGACCTCGTCCTAATAACTGGGCCAATATGATATCAGCTGATTAATAACACTATATATTTCACTTGAAAAATTGTGCAGAATTGTATGATATGACACCACAGTGGGCACTATTGAATTCTTATAAAGTATACTGTTTTTGACCACGGCCATAGTAATTTATATATGTTACGTGAAATAAGTGTAATCATAGTTATTCATATATGTTACGTCAAATAAGTGTAATCATAGCTATTCATATATGTCACGTGAAATAAGTGTAATCATAGTTATTCATTTATGTTACGTGAAATAAGTGTAATCCTAGCTATTCATATATGTTACGTGAAATAAGTGTAATCATAGTTATTCATATATGTTACGTGAAATAAGTGTAATCATAGTTATTCATATATGTTACGTGAAATAAGTGTAATCATAGCTATTCATATATGTTACGTGAAATAAGTGTGATCATAGCTGTTCATATATGTTACGTGAAATAAGTGTAATCATAGCTGTTCATATATGTGACGTGAAATAAGTGTAATCATAGCTTTTTATATATGCAACGTGAAATAGGTGTAGCTATTTATAGGTCTTTGGTTCGGTTTGTTTGTGTTTTAAGTCCTATTAACAGCCTTGGTCGTTTAAGGACGTGCCAGGTTTTGATGTTGGAGGAAAGCCGTAGTTCCCGGAAAAAAACCCACCGACCAAGGGCCTGTACCTGGCAACTGCCCCACGGAGGTCTCGAACACGCGACCCAGTGGTGGAGGGCTAGTGGTAGCAGAATGTCAGACGCCTTAACAACTTGGCCATCGCGGGACCTTTTTGTATAGGTGTAGTCAGGAAGTTCGTATTTTTGTCCTGAAATAGGTGTATGTGTCATTTACACATAGCACAAGAAAAAACCTTTTGTTCTTTCCTATGCCTATTTCAAGACGAAAACGATCAATAACATTGCAACCGGTAGGACGTAACATATACGTTGACATAACAAATATGCTGACGTTACAAATATAAATCGTAGCCAATTTTCATTTAAATACACGACAACAATCGCTTAAACTTCCTTGGATCACGTGTTATTCCTGAGCAATTTCGGAAATGTTTCGGAAATGTTCCCCCAACGACAATAAGCGTTATTTTTGAAATATGAAATACATGAAATCAATATTTATGACAAATCCTTTTTATTGAACTTAATTACAAATATTGACATATGTACAATGTAAATAAATTCATAAACCATTTTGTGATTACATATCATGAAATACGAGCCCTATAATCTTTGCTAATAAAAATGTCAAACAAGACAAAGGATATTATGAAACGAGATATAAGTAACAGTATTTACAAAAATTAATTGCTATGAATACTAAATTACATATGTGATGTGAATTTATTCCAGGGTACCAAACTGTTGTATATTTAAAACTAAAGTATACTTTTCTATTGAAAGTGGCATTAAATTACTAGGTCTGACTTATTTCATAAACAAACAACTCTGGTCCAACCGTTCCAATAGTTTGAATCGCGATCAACGAAAGCGGCCTACAGTTTTACATACAAAACCCAGTAAACATTTTTTTAGCGCTGGCATGTTTTGAAACATCCTCTACAGGAGCATGGAAGGAAGCAGTCACTCCACATATGTATCTAGATATATTACATTTTACCAGTTGAATATCATGAATTATCCTTTTGATAAAAACTGACATCTTCATTACACTTCACTGAAATGTTACATCTTCACATGTGATGATACCACTTTTAATATTGTCCAATCAGAATGGTCCTTTTTATTGATTGCGTAGATATTCAGTTTTTAGTTCAGGTGAAGCGACGGTATTATTGGTATTTGTTTTGTTATGTATATAACTAAAAAATCGATATTAATTTTGTCAACCAGGTAATAAAATTACGCTTTACTTTATGTTCAAGCGTGATGTCATTAGAACCTGGCGTCAAATAGTATGCTTCTAATTCCTGCACTATTTGATGCAGCACTATTTTCGTGGTATTAAATGCAATAAATAATGAAAACAAAATGTTTTCCGTTACCCTTTATAATACCATATATACTTCACGAGTATGTCAGAATATATCCTCTCTATATTACATCACGATTAAGCCCTAGCAAAACTAATACATCAACAAACGACCATAGATCATATTAAATAAGTGGGAATTGTTTAAGATATCATTTTATTTACTAATTAATCACTTCAATCCAGTTTACACAACACTCAATGGTGTTAAACATTGGGTTGTTGTTACAAGTTGGCACGCAGCAGAGCTATCAACAAGTGAAAAAAAAAATCCATATTTGATTATTATTTAATTTTACAAGTGCAATGTTAAACTACAATTAAGCAACACGGCCATCCTGATATAGAAGTATGCATTATTTCTTTAAAAAAATCCATTATTAATTCAGCTCTTCTCTCACCCCTTTACGTACAGAATGCAGGTGTCTCATGTAGAACACCGATGTGGGATAACTTTATCCGACAAAGTTGCACTAAATTATCCCGGTTAGGAACTACAGTTCGTTCTTAGTCTAATCTTGGAAGTGCATAAAAACAAAAGGATATAGTGACATATCGGTTAGCACTACCTAAGTATAGGAAACCAGTGATCCTAGTTCTGGAACAAGTATAGTTTAAATCATGACTTGTGCGTGCGTGAAATCGACGTTTGCGTTCAAGGTGTCCAGTACCAAATCGGCTGATATTCTGAAAAGTGACGTCATTTCGATATAATACGACACGCCATTAAATTGACATTTCTGTTCGTTGAAGAGTATATACTACCAAAATGCAGTCGGTATCTGACGTCACGGATATGAACAAAATCATAAGACGTTAATGTTTTATGATTTCAGTACCAGGTGTGATTATTTTTAATGTATACAATCTTTGTAACAAAAAATGTTTAATTTCACGATTTCAAATAGATTTGCACATTTCAAGCAGATGTCGTTCCATGCCAGCATGTTCATTTGCGGTCCTAATCCGATAGAAGCTTGACCAAAGTTCTACGAAACGTTCCGGGTTGATATCCAGTGACTTTAATTTCAAGATGCTTTTTGTGTAAGTAGTCGATAAATTAAGTCGATCACATAAAGATATACATGCAAAGGTAGCAGCAACCGGTGGCATGATTCGCGTCGTCCTGGACTTACCCAATGAAACTATGTGACCCGTAGAAGAGCTACTCGCCCAGAAACGTCGAAAAGACGGTTCTGGTTCTGGTGATGTTGTTGATAATGATAGAAAAACCTCCACACGGGCTGCTATAATCCGTTTCCATTCAGTCATATAACATGAAGCGCGAGGGATTTGTAATACCTTCACCTTACCTAGAACAACAATAACAACCACAAAATAACTGAAGACAATTGAATGAAAATATATTAAACATAAAATAAAAAGGATAAACAACACAACACCATACCGTTATTTAACAATGAACATTTATATACAACTAACACACAGGAAACAGTTAATCTGTTTATTACTCTTGTTAGCAACATATTTACATACAGTACTACATTTGGCGCATCAGGGTCTACTCACTCCAACAATTTTTACTACCATATATTTATGCTACTAATTTTTGAATAAGCTAGACTCTGGGGGTATTGAGAGAAGCAGATAGACTCTGAAAATGTCTTCAGAGAAGCACCTACACATCCCAGAGAAGTGAGCAGCTAGACTCTGAAAATGTCTCCAGAGAAGCGACTAGACTCTGGTTGTGAACACCCCTAGAGACGCCATGATGAGAGCAGCTAGACTCCTGTGATACAAAAGAAGCCGCATCCCAGAGAAGCGACTAGGCTCTGGTTGTCTTTTTGTTTTATACCTTTGACACGTTTCACAGCAGCCTGAGTGTGATATTAACGATAAAATTAGTATAACTATTGATGTGTAAGACAAATAAGAACTGCCAATTTTATCCAGCTGATAAGAACAAAGAGCGAATGTTATATTAGCGGCCCGGAAACTTTGATAGTTACAGAGTATTAAGACTGATCATTTACTTATTTATTTTATTATGGCAGACATTGAAATTTCATGAACTTCCACATACCGAGCTAAATAGTGTATTGACTACATGTAGCAGACAATAGCTATCCAGGGACTCCTACTTCAAACAGATCCTTAAAAATCATTGTACCAATGCAGGTAAAACAACATGGAATCCTAAAGAAGATTTTCGTACATGCTCAACTACATTTTATATCAGATATAGCTGGGTCAGGATATGTTGACCATGTTCAGTCGACTAGAAGGACGATATAATTATCTGAAGTCAAGAGTACGAATCTCGGTGTATTTTAACACTGTTGCTGTTTTGTTTTCTTTTATCTATTAATAAACTCATTAAAAAGGGAATTGTACTGAGCAATTAAAATGATATACTACACATTTATTTTATTTCGTTTTATCGAATCATTATTTCGTTATAACGAATTGATATTCCGTTACAACGAAATAAAAGTCCGATTAAACGAAATAACAACTCGATAAAACAAAATAGAAATTCGTTATAAACGAAATGAATTAAGTGTGTAGCATGTCAGTTAAGGGGCTCCGTAGAATTGGGATGTTCTGGAATATTACTACTAATTGAAATAAAATGAATTCAAAATTCACCTAATCACGTTTGTCGTAGAATTTGAATGTGAGGTCAGAATTATTGTTTTATTGTAGATAAAATTATCACAATGCATTACTTCGAACTTACTATCCTTTTTGCGTATGCCTAGTAAAATATTTACCACCAAAACCAAATTAGATATATAGGCTTACTTTCAGCTTCTAGTAGATCGAACACCATTAGACTCTCAAACAGCTTGGCTCTGGCATTAGATACATCCAGTTGGAGTCTTAGGCTGACATTTTTGTAGTCTGCAACATCCTCTAGCTGTTCAGTTTTTAGGAACGAACCTAATCTCACAACACAATTTTCAACCTTGTGAAGGTTATATTGTTCGACCCAGCGTAGGTATGTGACGACCTTTGAAGGTGGTATATACATGTCCGTCTCAGAAACAGACCCCACGTCCTCCCGGATGAGGTCTTCACATTCTTTGAGCAGCTTTTCTGTCCGATACTCATCTGCTAATGGGAGTACAATTCTCAGTGTTGCATCTATGAATACACAAGATTTAGCGACCATGATTAGTTTTTACTTTGGAAGTCGATGCAATTCAATGTCTGTTTGGAGCATGACGTAACATTCTACACAATTCTATGGTTAAAAGAGAAACTTTGTTGTCTTGGCCAACTTCGGAAGTTCATGGCTAATTTCCATTATGTAAAACTTACCATAACTTAAGAGAGTTGCATCGTCCTTTCCTTACTTTTCTTTAATCACGTTATTTTGAATAGGAAGGCATTTGAATATAAGAATATAATGTCAAGCGTGCTTTCATTGTTAGAGCTTTGATTACACTATGCTGGCTAACTTTGAAGGTTGATACTTTTCTAAACATTTGATACTATATTTTACTTGATAAGTCATACATGAACATCAATACTGTTTTGAGATTGACTAACAGTGTGTCTTTAAAAAAACATGTTCAGCCATATCTTCAACTTCAGCATGTTTTTAACATGCAGAATAGCGTGGCGAAAGCAATGTTTCATCGTTATAATGGAACGTGTTTCCTGTGACAATTTTTTTTTGTGAGAGAATCTTAAGATAAGAATAAACATATTACCTCCAATTGGAGGTGTAATGATAATGTCCAGTGGTGTGCTCAAAATCATATTTATCTTGCAGAGAATCTGATTATCGATGAATTACACTTTAAACGCGAAAATATGTTTTATTAGCTTATTTACATTAAAAAAAATGTTATATTTACTGCCGAATATAAAAATTCGAACACCATTGAGTTAAATTTGTTTTAACCATGATGTGAGCCACAATTATATTCAATACGCTTTAAGAAGTTCAAAATGCGTTAAAATTGAAATATTGTTCATATAGCAATACCTGGTTTATTTCTCTTAGTTGTGTTATTACTAAATAAGTGTGTTTAAGGTCATATTTGCATCATCGTTTTTCATAGTTACCTGTAACTTGGTCAGGGAAAATGGATAAAAGACATTTAAGAAAAGTGGCAATCTCATCATATGTTTTCCCTGGGAATTCCAGCTGCTTTATTGTGTCGTCAGTGCATTCCACTCGTCGTTTTGCCACTCTTTCTTAAGCCAAGCCTCAAATACAGGTGAAGCTGAAGAGAGTAAATCTTCATTTACATGAAGGTGTTGATCCTCGACCACCAGTGTTACGTCGTTAGGCAGAAAGCCTGGAAAAATCTGAGCAAAAATGTACAGAGAATAATAACGTATTTATTCAAAGAGTTCGTGTTGTATCACATGCTTTTAAAGGTTTGATACATAACATTGTTTTTTGTCTACCCATGGAGAGACATTTAATGATTTGAATGTTATTCCTTTGACTATTTCCTCTTGATTTTCTGAATAAAATTTCTTGAAATGATAAATGACGATCAAATTGTGTTGTGATCCGTCCAATTTTAATTGCCTATTCCGATTGTTCGATATTTTGATGTGGATATCTATATCATTTTATCAGTTTAACTGACCAAAATGAAAACATGGATCATTATTATATACAGTGTAAATCTTATAAAGAAGGAAAGCATCAGCGTTATAGTTGTGTCATTGAGTGCCTCACATATCATTTTCATGGATACTGTGTCTCTGTGTCTCTCTCTGTGTCTGTCTCTTCTCTCTGTGTATGTCTCTGTCTCTCTGTGTCTGTGTCTGTCTCTGTGTGTCTGTGTCTGTCTCTCTGTCTCTCTGTGTCTGTCTCTGTCTCTCTGTGTCTGTCTCTGTCTATCTGTTTCTGTTTCTCTGTGTCTGTGTCTGTCTCTCTGTGTCTGTCTCTGTCTCTCTGTGTCTGTCACTGTCTATCTGTGTAATGTATCTGTCTCTCTGTGTCTGTCTCTGTCTCTCTGTGTCTGTCTCTGTCTATCTGTTTCTATCTCTCTGTGTTTGTGTCTGTCTCTCTGTGTCTGTCTCTGTCTCTGTATGTCTGTCTCTGTCACTCTGTGTCTGTCTCTGTCTATCTGTGTACTGTCTCTGTCTCTTTGTGTCTGTCTCTGTCTCTCTGTGTCTGTCTCTGTCTCTGTGTGTCTGTCTCTGTCACTCTGTGTCTGTCTCTGTCTATCTGTGTACTGTCTCTGTCTCTTTGTGTCTGTCTCTCTGTGTCTGTTTCTGTCTCTCTTTGTTTGTCTCTGTCTCTCTGTGTCTGTCTCTGTCTCTATGTGTCTGTCTCTGTCTCTCTGTGTCTGTCTCCGTCTATCTGTTTCTGTCTCTGTGTGTCTGTGTCTGTCTCTCTGTGTCTGTCACTGTCTATCTGTGTACTGTCTCTGTCTCTATGTGCTGTCTCTTTCTCTCTGTGTTTGTCTCTGTCTCTCTGTGTCTGTCTCTGTCTATTTGTTTCTATCTCTCTGTGTTTGAGTCTGTCTCTGTGTGTCTGTCTCTGTCTCTGTGTGTCTGTCTCTGTCACTCTGTGTCTGTCTCTGTCTATCTGTGTACTGTCTCTGTCTCTTTGTGTCTGTCTCTGTCTCTCTGTGTCTGTTTCTGTCTCTGTGTGTCTGTTTCTGTCTCTCTTTGTCTGTCTATGTCTCTCTGTGTCTGTCTCTGTCTCTCTGTGTCGGTCTCTGTGTCTGTTTCTGTGTCTGTCTCTGTCTCTCTGTGTCTGTCTGTCTCGCTCTGTCTGTCTCTGTTTCTCTGTGTCTGTCTCTGTCTCTCTGTGTCCGTCTCTGTGTCTGTCTCTGTGTCTATGTCTATCTCCTTCTATGCCCTTGCCTTTGTCTCCCTCTGTTTTAAACGATGATCTACTTACGACATATGGCTAGTCCATTATACCTTAATATCCGGCTTTGTAACTGGTTCGATTTCATCTTTACATTGGTCAGTGACGCTATCTGACTCACCGTCATCCACACGTTTGCTTAGAAATCGAGCAGAATAAAAAAAGGACTTAAAATTGCATGATTTAAAATATAATACAACTTATTTCATGAATCGTGTGTAGTCCAGCAGTATTTATTTTTACCTTCAAGAAGAACAAACGCTTATTATTTCAGTGTATCATATGTCCCTTTTTCCATTAAGGACTTATTAGTGTTCCTAAAGCTCTAAAAATGCGAATTCCATAATTCGATGATTTTTATTATGCTCATTAGTAAGCCTTGAAGTTTGTTTTTACTACCCGCAGTGATGACGTTAATTTAATAGGATTTGACATTCATTTACATGGCGGGTGTCATCGATGAGCAGAGGCGGTTACCCTTCTGGAACACCTGGTCATATTTTTCTTGTACGTAATCAATGGTCTCAATGTAAATCTTTGCTTTGATCATATTTTGCCATACTTTTAACGATTTTGAGATTGAATTAAGGTTTTGCTAACACTTCATCTAGTATTCTCCTATATTTGTTTCGAAACATGTATGCACGTAGAAAACAACAAAAAAGGAGGTGAAAGTGCCAATTTGCTTTTCGGCTGCTGCAGGTAACTTATTCGTGTAGGAGTATTGTATGTATTCCGTGCCAAAATGATTTACGTCTACAATGATATGGAAACCTCGGGGACTTACAGTTCACCAAACAGAGACAACCCCGTTGTGAATTAAATGCTCACTAGTAAGACCCTTTAAAACATGGAATACCTCGATGCAGAAAGCTAGACAAATCCTTTCATGTAACATTTAACTAAGAAATGTGTAGATTGAGAATATCATCCATATACTTAATGAATCACATAAAGCAATGTTTCGGTATAATAAGACTGTTACATTTATTGACCCCGATTTACGGGTGTGACTTGAGAATTGGCCACTCGTAAAGATACTCAAAGGCCTTTATAAAACATGCTTTAAAACACGAATATGGGATGCAATAATTACATTGTGTCAGTGGTGGATTTTGTAGATTAAAACATCTACAAACACTGTGAGAGTTCTTCCCGAATTATTGTGCGTAGTTCCGATTCCATGGACATGATTTAACCCTATTTGTGGAACAGGGCCATTTGAAGTCGTACGGAATTATCCGAGGTTTTTTACGTGTACTCATAATGTAGGTGTCCTCTCTTGTCTGCTTCGTCAAGACGTCATGTAGTCTCTCATAAATACCGCACCAAAACTATTGGTCACACAAAGAAAACAAAGAAAACCTTGACCATTGACTAACCCAAGAGGTGACAACGGGCTACGAAACTGACCGATGATAAAAATGCATACAACCAAACCAATCCAAGAGGCCAAAATAAGGAAATAACTATACCACAATATCAAGATCGCTAATACTATATCAGAACATATGGATATATCGTAATATTATAATAAAACCTAAACATATAGATATCACAAATATCTTCTCTGCCACAACATAATGAATTATTCATATCATTTTTAAACTATTATAATTTGTTTATATAAACGCCTACATTTACACACGCACTATGTACAATACTGAAATTTTATGAAGTTCCTATAAAGATTTTAATAAACATAAATACTAGTACAAACTTGTCATTTGTCTATACTGCTCACACTTTCAATATAAAACATCTGGACACTTGCTAGATAGCATTGATCTATTCAAGACCATGGTAGTTTACGTAATTTCAAGCAAATTCCTAGTTGAAAACAGATATATTCTAGTGTTGTCATGTTACTAAATCATACTACAACCATTTTATTTCATATTTGAGAGTGTGTACACGTTTCCAATTTTGTTAATTATGTGTGGATTGAAGAAGTTGAAAATGCCTCGTACATAAAACTTGTACTTTCCTTTTCGTTTCGATTCCCTTGACACCTTCAATCGCGCTACAGGTGTGTATCTAACGTTTGTGTGTATTTGTTTGCAAGTCATTCATTCGGTGAGTTTAAAGGGTAATACCCGATAACGCCAGGTATGCAGGTCGGGGGCTAGCACTACGAGTAACAGGTAAAAGATCAATATAATTAAAATCAGACGCCGATATACTGTACGAATATGACCACCCCGCTTTAAGTCCTTTGACAATTTACATATATCTCGAAAAAGACTATTGACGGGTAAGACTTGACATGCAGTAGATACAATAAGGAGAAATTATGAGTTAAAATAAAGATTGTTTTATCAACGAATTTTGTCCCACAAATGGCAACAAATTATTTCACATACATGTTCAGCCTGTGCAGAATCGGGTATTTTTTTCTGCTAATGGGTCAATGAGGAAAACATCTGCTGCCTCATAGTAACATTTGTAATCAAGATTTGTGTCTTCCTTATTATTTCGTTTCGGTGGTGTGCTCTAGCTTTCGTATGGCTTTAACTGTGAGAACGTTACTAGTTGTAAACCCTAACAAACAAAAATGCACATGGACTATATTATATAACTAGATGGATGGTGATGCAAATACTGCATACAAATACATATATCATTATGTTAAATAGCACGTTAGCTGAACCGCTGTCCTGTTACAAAATACTTACGCCATTTTATCGCCGTTGTCGTTGCCAACCAGGAACATGTGATTCTGCTACACACATGCGCAGTATAAGGAAAGGGCTTATCTCATCGATTATAGTTATCGAGCCTATTTTTGTATCTTACTAATACAAACAACACTATATCCTACGAATGACAAAAACAGCTCCAGTCATTTCATTTCACAATTTTTTATTGAATATTGTATCTTTTAACAAATTCGAAAGGAATTGGGCATCAGGCGTAATGCCTATACAAGCCTTCTCCTATGGTATTGACAGTGTATATTATAATATATTTATTGTGAAATAATTTAAAAACAAATTCTACATCTAGAGCATCTAGTCATAGCATTACATTGTACCAGATGACATATATTAAACCAATTTATTGCATACTATAAAATGAATTTATCGCGTAATATATATATAAATAGCAATACAGAAAATGTATCACTTTACAAATTAGTACCAGTGACAGATATTATAATACTTTATCTCATACTACTACTTTAACCGACAGAGAAGACATATTGAATGTCTCTTTCAACATGAAACGGAGATGAAATGTATAGTTTGCAGTTACATATACCATTTTTACAAATAAATTTCTGTTGTGAGCTATAGAGAAGACCACTTTTAGGTAGTGTATTGGTTCATAAAATCAATAGTTGTATTCGTGTTACAAGATAATTTATCGTTGTAGTGACGTGTTAGCCAGAGTTTCCACTCAAGTTGCCCTGACACCAGGCGTAGATGTTTTGACAGATATATGTCTGGAGCCAGGGCCAGATGAACCTCGGGCTAGTAATGTGTATACCGAAGTGAAATGCATGTGGTATTTGTTTATGTACGTTATATTTATTTTGTCTCTTATCTCATTCACATAGAACAAGATATAGTGGATGTAAACCAACCAACATTCAGGTAGTGCAGTGGATAGCGCACTATATCAGTTGCAATAATTTGTTACATAAACACTGTAACATAAATATAGTTTTATTGATATTCGTTAACAAGAAGGATTTATATAAGTTGAAATAACTTGTGTTATAATTGTTGTAAAGTAAATGAAGGGTATTATTATTATTAGAAGTTGTTACGATCAAGTTTACGGTCGTCAGACTTATTTGTTTTTATTAAGCTATAGGAATAAACGTATCATTCTTTTCCTCGCTAAGATTAAAACTTTAGAAACTATGTTCAATATTTTGATATGGAATACAAACGTGTGTGTATGATCGTTTATAGTCATTCAGGGATAAATTAACTTCGATCATGCATATACAAAAAGAAACAGGCAATTAAATGAATCTCCATTTCATGAGACTTACAAGTATAATATTGATTATCTTTTTTGGCCACAAAATAGGAAATATTACATTGACAATTTAAAAAATAAAAGGCATGCATGTAAATTATAGTCATCTTTTATTTCTTGGATATAACGAGAAATAATACATGCATGCAAACATGGTTGTTTACATTTAATATAGATAGAGATCTTCATATTCGAAAATACAAATTGACATGGAATAATTACATGTACATTTGATAACTCATTGTAAACTGTAATTTGCTTAAAACAAAGCACACATAACTATTGTAAAGATGACTACAGTTGTTAACTGACATCGTTATCTTATTTCAATCATAACATCAAGAATTCAGTGAGCTGTGGGATCCAGTGATTTATTTCATTTTCATTTTGACGATTATCAACCGGTATCTGACAGGTGTTCTTGTTTTCATTGAATTAACAATATGATGACTTTGTTTTGATGTGGAAGCGATTTTTTATCAATGTATCATCTCTCAAAGAAGAGTACACTAAAGTGAATAGAAGAAATAAAATGTTTACACTGAAGCTGGTATGGACTACAGTAATCTGTAATATTTATAACAATGGATCATTAGCGCAATTGTTTGCCATTGGGTTTCAATACAGGCATAAGAATAAAACCTATTCCATTAATATCCTTTATGAATCATATATAATATCACAAATATTCTATATAACAAAACTGTTACAGTTGTTGACCCCCATGTAAAGGCGTAACATGAGATTTGGCCACTCTTATGTATACTTAAAGGCTGGTATACACTATGCTTTATAACACAAATATGTGATGCAATAATCACGTAATGAATTATTAATAAATTTGCTTATACAAAAGTCAACATGTACATACGAACTAAATACAATACTGAAATTTAATGAAGTTTCAAGGTGTTTTTTTACTTGGATAAATACAAAGCATTTTATGAATGAAACAAGAAATGCATCTCTCTAAGTAAACAACAAACTTTTAGAAAACGTATACTTGCAGTGAGCTACAAAATCTTTAACAAATTTATTGCACAAAACGCACACAAGTTCACAGTTAGGTAGTAAAGAATACTAGAATAACAATACAACCTATCAATAGAAACTTGTTCATTTGTCTTGCCTGGAAACACTTTCAATATAAAACAAGAGGCCCAATGGGCCTGCATCGCTCACCTGGTATTAATCTCACATTTGTAATCTTAAAAGTGGACTAAAATACAGCTACCGGCAGAATATCAGTGTTTGATTCATAAGAACCTATTAAAAGATTTAAACATATGACGCCTGTGACCTTGAATGTCGAACAAGGACATTAGGTTGAACAGAGTTTATAGTCTTCCAACCCAGTATGCTTCTGCAAAATATCATTACCCTGGACCTCTTGGTTATACAGAACAAAAAGATTTAAACATATATTGACCACTGTGACCTTAAATATGGGCGAAGGTCATTCACTTGGTAGTCCTTCATCCCAGCATGTAAATGGCCAAATATCATCACCCTTGGCCTTTTGCTTATTAAGAAGGAGTCGTTTAAAGGTTTTTAACATATTTGACACCTGTGACCTTGAATATATGTTACTGGCAAAATATCATCACCTTATATTTACATTCTGTATGCTTAGACCCATTGACAAAAATTACATTCATAAATGCATAACACAGGTGTTCATAGAATCTCAGCACGTGGGAACTGATAGTAACCTGATCACACTGCGTAGTAATACACTACAAAAACTACTCACTCGGAACGACCGACCTAGATGCTTAATTCTTACATCTTAAAATATTATTGAACTGTGCTTTGTGAAATATCCACGTATTCACGTGTCCTGTGCTACAAATAAACATTGAATATGGAACTACATTTTGTTGTGTTATTGTTGTTGACGGTTGCTAAGATCTCTCACGATAGTGTCACATTTCCCCGCGAAAAAACACTGTTCTCGCCACTGCGTTGCACCCGTGTATAAGCAGGAACAAACCCTGTTTATTTGTTTTATTCGTTGTTATATCGATCCACTGAAAGGATTCGTCAATGTAAATATAAGGAATGATATTTATTTTTTCAACATTTATGAGGTCATAACAACAATGGGTTTTTGGACATATTTTACATGAATCGCTAACGCGATTCATTCAATATGTCCATAAACCCATTGTTGTTATGACCTCATAAATGTTGAAAAAATAAAAATCATTCCTTAAATATCTGTTAGTTATTCAGAAAAAGTTGTTAAAAGGTTTTTTCATTTGGACAAACTCAGTAGTCCTTTATTCCAGCATGCTACTGGCCAAATATCATCATCATCATCCTAGGCATTTTGGTTATTATGAAGAAGTTGTATTACAGGTTTTTAACACATTTGACCCCTGTGACCGTGAATATAAGTCAAGTTCATTCATTTGAACAAACTTGATAGCCCTTCATCCCAGTATGCTACAGGCTCAATATCAGTACCTTGGGACTTTTTGTTATTGAGAAGAAATCGTTTGAAGATTTTATGACATTTGACCCCTGTAACCTTTGAAGTAGATCAAGGTCATTCATTTGATTAAAATTGGTAGCCCTTCATCCCAGCATGCTACAGGCCCAATATCAGTAACCTGGGCCTTTCGGTCATTGAGAAGAAGTTGTTAGAAGAGTTTACGACATTTGACCCATGTGACTTTGAAATTTGGTGAAGGTCATTCATACAAACTTGGTAGCCCTTTATCCCAGCATGCTACAGGCCCAATATCAGTATCCTTGGCCTTTTGGTTATTGAGAAGAAGTAAAATATAGACGCCGGACTGACGGACGACGAACGGACGACGCGCCATGGCTCACTAAACCGGTTACTTGCATCGATATATTGAAGGACCTGGCGACAAAAGTAATGTACGTAATTTACCTAAAAAAAATTCTCCTGTTGACAAATGAAACTGTAATTCACATAAAATGTGTAGAGAACAAGCAATATTAGCAATCATGTTAACAGGCGATGCTAATCAGTCTCTAAACAATTACCGAATCGTATCTATGATAAAAACTTTCTCATTTTGAACTATGTAACTCGTATAGTTCACATGCAATTCCGTGAAGTATAGAATATCCCCAACACATAAGCAATTATTTTAACAGGTGAAAAATATTCAGTCATTAAATAATCAAAGAAGCATATTGATAACAAAAACTGTATTATGTTGACAAATGTGACTTGTGTAATTCACATCGAAAGCCAACTAATTAAATACAAAAATGTTCCTAACACTAGGTAGTTACATTACAAAGTGAAAAATATTCTGTCACCAACACCAATATTCTGTGATCAACAAAACTTGCCAGAACATACCTGTTAAAGCTACGCAGATCAACAATACAATATCGAACACATTATCTTCATTTAATTATGTTTTAATGTAATTCAAGAGACTCTCTGTTCGGCGTAGCGTGCGCAGGCAACAAGAGTCTGGTTGAACGAGACTATATTTAAATGAGAAAGATGCCTCCGGTACATGACAAATGCATGTTATCCTATACCTCAAAGCACGCGTACCGTGTGCTATCAAAAGCTCAAACAATTAATAAATCAATAGATTAGTTTATGCACATTGAACTTGCTTCGGCCATTGCTTAACTATACGGCAAAACATGTCAATTATGTTTGATTTACATGTGGCCTGGGGAGAACCCTATATAAATATCTTGCGAATCTTTCCGAGTTCCATAGGATAGACGGCTCCTTCTCTTTCCTGTCTCCCTCTTCTATCCCTTCACTCCATACTTTATCCCCTCTACTCATTTCCCCATATTTTCCATCGTCTGCTGGATAACCGAACTACTCGGTAGTTAAAAATGAATGTAAAACCACTCAATAAAACACGTTTTGGTGGCTTATTACTGATGGAATAGTCATTTCTTTGTTATTTAATATAGATTCACTGAATGTTCTATATCATTCAAATGTATGTTCATGAATCAGTCCATCCTAGAAATCCAGGGATTCCTCTCCCGATACCTTCTCTGCATCACTGGGAGATGTATTTAAGCATGCTATTAGCTACTTGATTAGTTTCAGGTATACAATCCTAACCAATCACTAGGCCGATATATTTGTACCTGTCCTTTTGAAGATTACTGAGGAGCTACAAACAACTTCAAAGCCTGTCAATTTAATCGATACGCTGCCGCGCGATTCCTATGATCTCCATAAAATAGCTTAAAGACTAGTACAATTGTATAATAAGCAATTTCGCCATGACATATTTAAGTGGTGCAAAGAATATATGAGTTTCAAGAACAGTAACCCTAGATTTCGAGGATTAAGTCGATCATATGTTCTGCTGATATTGCAGATGGATTTTCGAAATTGTGTTCGTCAGTAAGATAAATGGGGGAGTTTCCCGTTGAATACTATGTTTGCTTGGCATCGGTATGGCAGAATACCAATATTTTACGAGTGCTTGACACGAATGAAAATATTGGTACATTTTGCCGTACGGGTAAAAGAAATATGGAATTCAAGTGGAAAATTTTAAATTGTATATTTATAACAATTGAAACTTCCAACGACGACGAAAATTGTCCCGCATCAAACCTTTAAAGAGATTTTATACCGACATTTTTGCTGCCATATTCTTATGACGTTACGCTAAATAACAAGTCTGTGCACCATTTTGAATAGCTACGCAACGCAATTCTGTTTCTTTTTGAACTATTTGGTCAGATTTTCTGACAAAAAATGTTTCAGTGTTGTAGTTAGCTTATTACATTGTGTTTATAGCAAAAATGTATCAAAAATCCTCTTAATCTACTGTCGTTTCATCTACGTTTAAACAAAAGATCTCTGGCTTCCAATGAAGTGCAAGTCTAAGTATCGTTCTCATCTGTCTATCCTGGGAGTAGGATTATTACACCGCGACCACATCAAACGTGATATTTATCACAGTGATGAAGATGTCAGTTTTATCAAATTGATAAAATTCGAAAGCTATCAAAAATTTATAAATCTTAAAATCAATAAGAACAATCACAGAAATGGAGTGCATGTAGCTTTCCAGATTCACGTTCCTTGGCATAACTTATATCAGCAAAATAACTCGACCAACCTTTTTCAAAATCGGCCCTTTTTATTTTTGACAGTTTTAAACTCGTCAAGCATACTTCATAGGTTCTCGTGAGCTTCAATTTGTCACAAATATACATGCTTGCAAAAATGCCTGGAAGCTGCTCTTTCGTCTTTTTTTCTCGGTAAAGAATAGGTGTGATCCTGTCTACGCCTTTCAACTGCACTTCGTTTCTTATTATCTTGGTGATATTTTTTCTCCAAATTGGCAGGTAATGCATAGAAACTGGAATCTTTAACTGTTGTATTTTTTTCTGAAAAAGAAACATGTTTCATTAGAAACAAGAAACTAAACATTAAATCGTCAAAAGTTCACACTATAAATGAAAGTTTGATCGCATGAAACTTTCCGATGATCTCTCTGAATGGAAGTCAATAAGGTATATACATATAAGTCCTTTAAATCATACAATTCAGCCGTTCTTATCATATGTATCTACTTGGTGTAGCTATACTTTAACCCATTTCAACACTGTAGACCATAATGGATTCATCCAGATCCATGCATGGTAGAGTCTACTAAAGTTACATAGGGGTGAAAGAGTTAAGATCTGCATAACAAAAAGCAAAACAAAAACCAATCGCTAGGTGGATTCCTGTCTTTTGCATATTACTAGAGAAACTAGAGTCTTCGATTTTGCAATGACATATTTCTAGGGAGTAGAGAAAATGTACATATAGTGTATATATCGATAGCGGAGTCCTCAGATTTCGAAAAAAGTTTGACGTGATCAAGAGGTACGTATTTCACCACATGAGAAATGGCTGTCAGAGTTAAAATTCAGGGTTATGTTTCTGATTATCAGCTGCAACTTCTCAGCTCTGAACATCAAAGATATGGCAATATCAGCACAAAATCTTCCAGTTAGTGTGACGCTATTTTAAATCGTGAGTTGAAACATAATTATCTTTCATTGATTTTGAAGGCAGCAAAGTTGTGGCATGGTTCATCATATAAAAACTTTAGTGAAGATTTAACTTAAAACTTAAACTCTAAATTTTGAATTTCTCAAAATAAAGGGCATATCTTCTGTTTTAGAAGCAGTTGGACCAATTTGCATTTCCAACTTTATGGCAACTAGCATCACCGATGGCGATGAGTCCTTGATTATGAAACAGCTGTATGATGCAATGTAATTAATCTTTGGCTTACTGTGTCTATTACATGTACCAACTGTTAATGCTCTGAGCTATCACCCGTGTGCGTGTTACAGTAATATTTTTACTATCTCAAACGAAAATGATTTTGGGAGAAATACATGTCTTTACAGGGACAAGGGATATATATGTGTGGCATATTTAGACTGTAAGAAAAGACTGTTCGTACGACCTCATAGCATACAACATTTTGCTTTAGTCTAAAATTTGTTTAAATATGGTACATAAAAACATCAACTATAACAGAGAAAACACCTCATACCGAAACTTAACACTGATAACAGTTCAACCATAGTATATATATAGTAGTGTATTGTAAAGAATGTGAGTAACAGCTTACCCATAATCTCTTCAACAGTCACCACAAATAGACTTTCTAGAAGTTCGGCTCTGGCATAAGATATCTCAAGTTTAAGTTCATATCCGATATCCTTGTAGCCTGGTTCTTTCTGGAGTTTTTTTCCCTCTAGGTACGATGCTGACTTCACAACGCATGCTTTTGCATCGTCAATGTTGAACTTCTCGATCCAGCGTAAATATGTGACTATCCGGGAGGGCGGTATGTATATACTGACCTCGGAAAGTGATTCCACGCGCTGGTTGATGACTTCAACACATTTACGTAACAAGTCTGCTGTCTGATACTCGTTTGCTAAAGAGAGTACTATATCCAAATTTTTATCTGAAATTTTGAAACGGTTTCTTATTAAGGAATGATAACTAGAATAAAATAAACCGTTTAAAGTTTTCATGAGTATGAACACCTCGCTCAGAATAATTAACTCCATCAGTAACTATATGCGTGTAATAGGTCATTATGTTACTTTTTTAACATGTTAGGCTCTCAGTTTAAATTGTTTTTTTTTCCGTTTTGTGAACGTCTATTCACGGGCGTATAACAATACAAGATTAACAAACAAAATAAAGATTTGTTTAAGTACTGGTACATGTTGGATGTTACTTCTTATGTTATAACAGTTCTGTCACTTGATATTCAGCAGTAATATGAGCTAAGAGCTTGTATCGTTGTCTTACGAAATTTGTTTATTCTTAACTGTACTGGGGTTTATACTAGTTTAAAGGGAATTTTAATTGATGACGACCTCACCTGCGTTAGCTTATGTGTGTGTTACGTTCACCTTTAAGTGCTGGGTATGGATATATTTGTTCTTCTAACCTGTACTAGGGATTATGCTGGTTTTTCGACAAATGTAAAGATGTGAAATGGGTGACGATCTCCATCATCTAAAACTCAAAGGGTTCCGCTGTTGATTTGATCTCGATCGGACTAGTGTATTTGCATCTATCCAAGGAGCCGCGTAAAGAGCCTTCGATTTTGTTGTGACATATTTTAGAGCATTCTTGATACATCTGGGGTAACAATCTCTTACGCTCTCTGCTCCCTGGAATATGTCATTACAATAGTGAAGACACGCGGCTAGCTATTTGATTGATATGAGTTAAACACTGAACAACATCTAGGCTGTCACATGTCCTTTGAAGATTACAGAGTAGCGACATCCGACTTGTAAGCTGGTCAGTTTTGCCGCTTCTCTGTCGTGGGATTCTTTAAATGATCATCAAATGATCAAACTCATTTTCTTGTTTCATCTACAATGTGACGCACAATGAACCTTTAGTTTTGTTATGACATATTCAAGGGTGCAGATAACTTAAGTGAGTGTAATTCTTGGGAGTATCGAGAATGATTCCAGGGGTGCAGAGAAAACATGTGTATCCAGAGGGAAATCGCAGGATCTCGCACGTGCACTCCTACTTGTGCTACCGATAATTACTAGTTACTTGTTTGGGGAATGACGGCAGAAGACACTTCATAAATATTGACATATCATGGTAGGTTTTCCCTGTGAACCGCAGTGTGGTGTCTGCCTGTTGGTGATCCTGCCACTCATCCTTCAGCCAAGCCGCAAAGTCGGGAGACGCCGATGCGAGTAAATCTCTGTTTACGTGAAGATGTTGATCCTCGACGACCAGTTTGACATCGTTCGGCAGGAAACATGGTTCAATCTGAGATACAAAAAGAAAATATGCTGTTTTAATTGGTAATATATTTTGTCTTTTTTATCCACGTGCATCTTTTGGTAGACTTAGCTGGTGATTTTGTTGTTGGTCATAATAACCTCTTTGTGGCACGATACATAATAAGCACAGTTTACTCATCATAAATTTGATCAAAGTTTTAAAATTCAAATAATTAGGGGTTTTTATGCTCCTCCCTTTCTGTATCAACAGTAATTTAGATGAATTTGAATTCCCACTTTTTAGGCCCATAGCATAACTGATGATGCCAAAAAGGATGAAAGCTCTATGAAATAGTAAATTTAACTTTTTGCATAAAGTATATAATAAGACAAAATTGCAAGACACCCTTCCCTGTTTTCATCTGTACTCAGTAATAGCCACGAATTTTGTGATATCCGACACTACTGTCGGAGCCATGATTTCTGAGATGCCATTACCTGTACATACAGTTTATACAACCCTATCCCCTAATGTCTTACACTTGACAACTGGATGAACTGATAAATTGTTCCAAGAACTTAACAGCAAAATTCCACCATGAAAAAAATAGAAATATTTTTTGTATTAATAGGTTGGTTGAGGTACAGTAAAACTTCGATATAATGTCCTCGTTTCATTTGCCCCCTCGCTTACTGCCAAAATAGTTTAAGGCCCTTTTTAATTTACTCTTTTTCTTAAAAAAAATATTTTTACATTTCCCTCATGTAGCTAAACCCCTATATAACGCCGAAATTTCTCTGGGCAAATTGTGTCAGTATAACGAGGTTTTACTGTAATTTGAAGTATAGCTACACATCTCATGCACTACAGGGCAGCTTGGTATACATAAGTTTTACAGAAAATAGATTTTACACAACTCATCCACTACAGGGCAGATTGGTATATATAACTGTTACAGAAAATAAAGTATACACATCTCATCCACTACCGGGCATATTGGCATATATAACTTTTACATAAAGTAAATTTTACACATCTCATTCACTACAGGGCAGATTGATATATATAATTGTTACAGAAAATATATTTTACACATCTCATCCACTACAGGGCAGATTAAACGTGGTTAATAGACGTATCGTAATTCATGCATCATCAGTGTACTGCTACCATATAAATCAATTGTTTGAGAATGAACAGAACTTACTGATTGTTGCATTTTCCAAATAGGTTTTTTCACATTGGTTTCTTATTGATGATGTATATCAAGTATATTTGGAATAACCACTATCCATTTCTAGCAATACTCATTTGCTTCATATTTTATAGGGTCTCAGTCTTTTGAAAATGAGGTGTTTGATTCCCCTTAGGGAAAATGTCCATATATACTATTTATGTAGTGTAATGATGGCCTGGGTTCGATTCCCCGATCGGACGTGAAAAGGTCACCTGCCCGTACACTTGGTTTTTTTTCCCGGGTACTCCGGTTTTCTCCCACATTAATACACGCTACACGCTAACGTCGGGGCCAACAAGAGTGATTGATATACGTTGAAATAACTTGCTTATTAAAGTTAATATTTATAAAATACCTACTTACATTGAAAAATAACGATAAATGTGTACTTTTCCATTGTAAATATTTCATGTTTATAGTTTCTGATATATACATATACCTTTTCTGTTTAAATAATATAATGATATAGGTTCGTCTCCTGGTACTCAGTGTCTTAACTATCCTTTCAGTATACGTCCGCTAATTATAATGCCATCTCATATGATTATAATGTCCATTTTGTATTTCATAAATACATTTGAAAAAAAGGTAATTACATTCATGCTGTGTGCAGATCAAAATAATGCTTTAATTGACCATAAAATTGTCCGATCACGCCCGATCCTGTAAATCATCGCCCCATCCTGTCAATCGTTGGACCCGTGGCATAAATATTTAAATTAGTCTCGTTCAACCAGACGCTTGATGACTTGTAATTCAAGAGACTCTCTGTTCGGCGTAGCGTGCGCAGGCAACAAGAGTCTGGTTGAACGAGACTATATTTAAATGAGAAAGATGCCTCCGGTACATGACAAATGCATGTTATCCTATACCTCAAAGCACGCGTACCGTGTGCTATCAAAAGCTCAAACAATTAATAAATCAATAGATTAGTTTATGCACATTGAACTTGCTTCGGCCATTGCTTAACTATACGGCAAAACATGTCAATTATGTTTGATTTACATGTGGCCTGAGGAGAACCCTATATAAATATCTTGCGAATCTTTCCGAGTTCCATAGGATAGACGGCTCCTTCTCTTTCCTGTCTCCCTCTTCTATCCCTTCACTCCATACTTTATCCCCTCTACTCATTTCCCCATATTTTCCATCGTCTGCTGGATAACCGAACTACTCGGTAGTGAAGCGGAAGTAAAACCAATCAATCAATCAATCAATCAATCAATCAATCAATAAACCAATCAATCAATCAATCAATCAATTAATCAATCAATCAATATTTCGAGTTCCTGATAATATAAATACCTATGCAAGACGTTCCATGTTCAGTAAACGGCCGAAAACTTTACCTGAATTTTCATTCTCTTGCGTAGTTCGCAGTCATCGCCGTCACTCTCCTCAGAGACGTCACTCTCCTCAGGGACGTTTCTTTTCAGATTAGGTTTTTCGAATTCCATCCTGTTAAAAAATAGACAATCTACCGGTGGTAAGTAAATTTTGTACGCCTTTCCCGGATTCGGACTAAAATACCATACCAGAGAAATAGAGATATTGTAATGCATTGGTTTAAAGTTTAATCAAACCAGAGACGTGTAATATATACGTCTCTGATCAAACCAAAAAATCGGTTTATAAATGTGACACTTTGGATGAAACTTTAAATAATTTGATAATTTTGAAATAGACGATAATGTGTATTTCAACTTGTACGCCGCACTCAACCGTGAAAATTACAGTTTTTCACATATTATTAGAAAAATACAGACTAATAACATGATGTTTTCCGATAAATAGAACAAAAATACCTTACTGTTTATAATTATGTAAGTTTTGTTGAAATAAACAACATTTTTCACAATTCTGACTTTGTTGTGATTGCGGGTGTTTTGTTTATTCCCGTACCCGTGCTAAGGTGAGATCACTCCCTCAAGCTATGTCGTCAGGAAGACTCGTGCTAAATATTTATTATACGTAAAATACTATTAAATACAATAATTTCTTTATATCTTGTAACGTATCTGTTCACACAATTTGAACGAGTAACTTTATAACAAACTTTTATATTGAAAACAACTTCACAAAAGCTCCAGACTAAATTAAAAAACAGGGCGGCTTTATCTTTTACTGCCAAAAGTTTGTACGCTAGCGTATACGTACATGTCACTTTTTTCCAACCGTTACTCCCATTAAAAAGTGACGAATTCGTAATCGATTTCAGAAAGTTGAAAGAATGTTTTTTCTATATTCTTTTAGATCCTTCACTGATTTTTTATGAACCCTACTTTTTACTTCGAGTTTTCTTTTGTAGGAATTAGGGGTCATTTAGCTTTTTGTGCTCTCGATAAGCTTTTTGTATTTCCGCCTTAATCTTCGTCATACTTTGATATTAGGGGGATTAAAAACATAAAATATGATCAAAGCTTCCAGTGTTTCAGTAATATACACACAATTCACTTTTGCAGTGTCCATAGGTATTAAAATTTTTCAGCGTCTTAGATTACTCATTGCAGTCCTTAAAGGGACATCACGGTGAAGTAACTTTTTTCTTTTCTTTTTTTTTTTCAAATTCTACATAAACATATCAAGTGAGACTTCTTATGGAAAATAACGATCGGTTTTGGCTGAAATAGATTCATAAAAATAATTAAATCTAAGATAATCATCGGTATTTCTACCTGTCTGACCAACGTTTTGTTCAGGGATTTTCCTCTTTTAGCGCATGCGCATATCACACCATTTCTTTGTAAACAAAATGACTGGCCGTGTGAAGTAAGCGAACGAAAAGTGTTGTACAGTGTCAGCTACGAAGCGAAAAGTTGCAAAATGGTCAAAAGATAGCGCAAGGAGTACGTTACGGAATCATTATTGCAGGTGGGAAGTATTCAAAGGAGAAAATAACTGTCCTAGCAGTTAATACGGTGCATGTATTCTTCCGGAAAGCCGGTTCAGCTGAAATGGAATTGACAGAAATGCTAATGCTGTTTATGTTATGAATAAATATCTAAAACTGTTAACCTCGCTAGTATCTTGGTCTTTGAGTTTGAACACAGATGAACTTAGATAAAACTGTTAATGGGCATGTATCGGAGAGAGTTTACTGTGTGTTATATAATTATAAAGTGGTTTATGCGAAAGGAAGGGATAAGTGACTGGTTAGTTTGATTTTGCCATGAGGCCCTCCAAGGGCTGTTGTGATGGCCACGGCGTATTCTGTTCTCTCCTCAGTCGGTACTCGGGGTCAAATGAGATACGTGCGCTATTATATTTACATAATTTATAATATTTTAATACCGAGTTCAGTAAAATGGTATGATTTATTTCCGAATTAAACGGATGTTTTTTGATTTTACATGCAAGATTTAAATTAGTACTAATATGAATACCCGACCTCCTCTGGCGCGACGACGCAATATATAAAAAAAATCGCTCTTCGTCAGAAAGCTACGTTATTGCAGCTAGATTAAAAAGTTCAAAATGACGGACCAGGATGAATAACTTAGGAAGGAGAACCTACTTCTAGTAAATAGGAGCGCATAAATCGTATATTTTCAACAGTTCATGTTTTCATATGATGTTGACTTAGGTAACAACTTTTTCTCTATAAAGAATTAATTTTCGACTTCAGATAGAATCGGAATACGTATTGAAAACAGGGGAAAAACATTTGTTTACGTTGTAAAAATGACGCGTGCTGCCGATAACTACGGCTTCTGTTTCGGACAAAAAAAAATGATTAAAGAAAAAGTTGTCTCAACATAAAAAGGGTCCATTTACAAGAATGCTTTAATATATGTAAAGTATTGAAAAAATGTAATTATCAAGAATCTTAACACGTTTCATATCTGACACATATTCTACATGTACACGTAGTGGAATTGCCATACAGTTTAGTGTGTATGATGGCTAATAGGACTTACCAAGTGTTAGAGTATGAAGACAATGAAAGTGGGAAAGAGAGTACACATAAATGTATATGCATGATCTAGAAAAAATAATTGGCCAAAGACATTGAGTTCTACAATGTTATAAAAAATCACAAACGTTTCTCTTTTTTATACGCGTGTAGTTTGTCATTGCATAAATCCACTTTATGAAAACATTTGAAAAGGGATATTCGTCACGTGAATATTCCTTTTTACAGAAAGGTTTGTCCCATGGTTAAGGGAAGGTGTTTAGCCTCGTACCATCTGAATCGGTCACATTCCGGTAATACATTCAATATTTATTTATATATATCTGCTTTACGTTTATGCCTATTATCATTGTTGACATTTAATTGTAAATGTATGACGGGAGAAGGCTGTGATAAATTATAAAAACTTGTGCCCCAGCCCTTGTTTAATTTTATTGGCAACAAATTTATATTTAAAGCTAAATAAATTTGAATTCTGAATATTGGCAAGTATGCAATTACTGTTTAATAAGTTTGAATACGGACTTGGAAATCATATTACTTGGTTTCATAGTGCGGTAAGAAGTTGCAGTTGCCTTACGGCCCCTCTGTGGGAGTCCCTTTGGAAATCGCTTCATTTCGCTCAGACCACTTGTGTTTACTGCCTAGTCAGGTGACGTTATCGGCGCTGTTTTTAGCAGGGCTTTCCCGAACAATTCAAGTGGTCAAACTGGACATTTGGAACGGACTATGAATATGGGGATAGCGAGGTAACATAAGCGGAAGTGCATACAATACATACATTCATTGAAACAAATATGGTTCTTCACGTGATGTCCATTTAAACATATACGTTACACATTATATTGGTCAAGTGCTACGTATACACTCATGATACTTAAAATTATCACTAAAACAGACTTTAAATCGATGTAATCATCACTTGTGATCAAATATATGAACCTGTCTCAAATGTTCACATAACCTAATCGATCTTATTTGTGAAAATAATGCACCAAAACAGAAACGTGACCAAAGTGAACATATACGTTACATGTTTCCCAAGTGATGCGATCCTTTATATCACATATACCACCCTTTTCTTGCATAGCTTTTCATTAATTCGTCCTTTGGAATCCATTTATAGTACTTTACCTTATTGGACATAACAAATTACGTGCATAAAGATATTCCCCTTGAAAACTTAGCCAGCTGATGCAAGTACAGTTTGTAAAAGATCTAATAACATTGTCCCGAGCCCATCAAAATCTCACGAAACAAAACCGGAGTCTAGAGTATCTTTATTATAAGCAACGACTATAGAACTATTTACGACGGATCTGTTTATAACGTATCTGGTCGGCTAGACTGTTTACGTCAGCAAAATAACATTCACTCAGTATTCACTTTAACTTTACACATTGTACAACAAGGTTATACTTCAGTTTTATCGTTTAATAAATCCCATGGCAATGAGTACATGCAGCTTTATTAGACAAATACAGGTCACGAATCTGTTGAAATTTAAAGGGGCATCACAGTGAAGTAACCTTTTTTTTTTTCTTTTTTTTTTTCAAATACTACATAAACATATCAAGTCAGACTCCTTATGGAAAAAAACGATCGGATTTGGCTGAAATAGATTCATAAAAATGATTATTATATGCATGAAAAATTCTTGCAATCACATTGGTCGGATCATATACACGTGACCAGTCCTCAAAAACTCATGTAGACTGGTTATCCGGTGAATATCGATTTCTAAATATAGCTTATATGGAAATTCCCCGTAACCTGTCGTAGCACATGACTTGTGCAGTTAGACCGGAACGCGATCTATCAGACGACAATAGAAGATGGTTGCTGGCGAACGTTTCTCCTCCGTTACATCAGGAAATTACCAGAACTATTCGAGGATAAAGATGCTGTTAATATAAAAATAGGCCACTGGACACGCAGTGCATGTCTCCATGCTTATCGTAAGATGTCTTCAAAAGCTACGATGCTGAACTGTTGAATTCAAACCTGGCTAAGTTTTACACGGAGGCTCGCGTACAAAAATCAGAACCTTGAGTTTTGTTTTGTTTTATTTTGTTGTTGAAGGATAAACCAAAACAGTAATGGGCTTTTATGCTGGTAAATATGATGTGAATATCACTCTTTCAGGTTCATATCACATCATATTCACCAGCACAAAGGTCCATAATTGTATATTAAATCTAAGATAATCATCGGTATTTCTACCTGTCTGACCAACGTTTTGTTTTGTTTAGGAATTTCCCTCTACTAGCGCATGCGCATAGCACACCATTCCTTTGTAAACAAAAAGACTGGCCGTGTGAAGTAAGCGAAAGAAAAGTGTTGTGCCGTGTCAGCAACGAAGCGAAAAGTTGCCAAATGATCAAGAGATAGCGCAAGGAGTACGTTACGGAATCATTATTGCAGATGGGAAGTATTCAAAGGAGAAATAACTGCCCTAGCTGTTAGTACGGTGCATGTATTCTTCCGGATAGCCGGTTAAGCTGAAATGGAATCGACAGAAATGCTAGCGCTGTTTATGTTATGAATAAATATCTAAAATTATTAACCTCGCTAGTATCTTTGTCTGAGTTTTAACACAGATGTACTTAGTTTAATATATTAATTGGCATGTATCGGAG